GCCATCCTTTATCCTTCCCTTTCTCTTATGTTCCAATCATATGTCCTGAATCTTCTGCATTCAAAATATAGAACACACCCATTTCTCTCCACCCCTACTATCACACACAAATCCAAGCCAGAATTACTTTTTGCCAGAACTAAAGCCAAAGTCCCATACCTGATCCCTTTTGCCCAGTTTCCCTACAGCAAACGTTGGAGAAACTTCTCACTGATGAAACTTTATAAATAACCCTGCCCAGTTACTGTCTGTCCCACCCCTATTTATAACAACCTAAAATTGTCCTGTTTATATCTATGTTTATTTGTATATTATTTTTCTCCCCAATCTCCACTAGAATGTAAGTTCCTCAAGGGCAGGAATCAGGTCTGTGTTTTACCACCATATATTCGGTATTCATTATTTTACCTGAGACACAATTAACTTCTATATAGATATAGGGCTTAATGTATGGGCAGATGAATAGAAAAATTAATAGACCCTATAAATCACCTTATTCAAATCCCTATATATTGAGTATGTAAACAGTGGCTCTAGCCCAGGAGTCTATCTGGAAAAGAACTTCCTTCCAGAGACAGAGAGATGCCCTCATCTTCCTACAATAATGGGCAAACTCCCCACTGCCTTCAAAGTCCAAATTCCCTCCAACCTGTGTGCACAACCTCATCTTCCACAACTTCCTTCCCTTAACCTAAGATCATAAATACCACTCACATTCATGATGTTACCTCCCTTTACAATGCCTTTTTTCCCCTCCTGCTAAACATCCTTCAAAAGTCCCTCTTGAAGGGATTTCCTGGTAGCCATTGCCAAGATTTCATGGTAGCCATTGCTATTATTCTGTACTGTCATGGGCCTTCATACATAGCTCTGCCACATTTATTCTCATGTATGACAATTATACAATTAACTCCCCCATTTTACTGTTAGCACTTTGCATAAAAGTTATGTTTTATGTATCTATCCACTAGTGCCTAACATGGTACATCAACAAAATATGAAGAAGAATTTGTTACTGCTAGCTATGTGCATATCAAGAAACACTTGAGAATATTTTATTACTGCTCCATCAAGTGAGAGAAACTGGAACATTTTAATGGTTGTTATTCTGCCAGCTATCTGACCACCATTAGTGAGCCAGTGGGAGAGGCAATTTTTAATTTGTGAAATTTATTTCAACTAGTTATAGCTTATCACATTTGAAAATATTTGCATTGTTTCCAAAATGGACACACCAACACACATAGACCCAACCTTTTCACCTCCAATTTTCAATTTTTAAAAATATGAATTTTCAGGCTATAAAAGTAATGAGGTAACTGGAATTATTAGGAAATTCTCCAGCTTGTACCTTTTTTAAAACTTTTAGCATAGGCACAGGCAGCACTTCTTGAAACTATTTAATGTGTATTTAACGTTAACTTTTATAGTAACCAGACATTCAATCTCATTGGTCAAAACAAGTTACAGCTCTGTTTGCCAACCAAAACGTGGGTTGATCAGCACCATGGACAGAGGAACAACGTGCAAAAAGACAGGCTTTTTTTGCTAGTTTTTTCTAATAATAAACAAATGTAAATGCCATTTGTATGGTCGAAATGTTTAATTTTATTTTTCAATTGCAGTTTACATTCAATATTATTTTGTATTAATTTCAGGTATATGGCATAGTGGTAGACGATCATATACACTACAAAGTGATCACCCCAATATTTCAATTACCCATTTGGCATCTAGAGGACATTATGCCAAGTGAGATAATTCAGAGATGGAAAGACAAATGTCATATGATTTCACTTATATGTGAAATCAGAAGGTCACTCTTAAGGCTGCTTATAAAATGACAGCTATGGTATCGGATGTCTTACCAAAGAAACACTGGTTTGAACGTTCCTCTAGAGATAATAAGAAGAGAGTTCCGCTGGATTTGGGTCAAATCAGAGGATGGGGTCTTAAGAAAATAACCACTCCTCCGAGATGTCTCCATGTAGCATGATTTACTTCATATATTGACCTATATTGATTCATTTTCTTCTTTTTAAAAAGTTTATTTCTTTATTTTCAGAGAGAAAGGAAGGAGTAGAGAAGGGAGAGAAATGTTGATGTTTGAGAGATACATCAATCAGTTGCCTCTCACACTCCCCCAGCTGAGGACCTGGCCCAAAACCCTGGCATGTGCCCTGACTAGAAAACAAACCGATGACCTTTTGGTTCAGAGGCCAGCACTCAATCCACTGAGCCACACCAGCCAGAGCAATTGACTACTATTTTGACAATGTGTTTTTCTTTTCCCAAAGTGGCAACATTTCATGCTGAAGTAACTGTGAACACCTACCCAGCAAATGTGGAGAAAATTTGCTCTTTTTACCTGTTTAGTACCTGTGATCCTTTTTGCCTTTGCAAACTACCTTTCAAACAAATAAGCTGTTTTAAAAAGATACTAAGGAATTTTTTATGCTTGGGGAGAGTTATGATTATATTGAAGTTGTGTTTAAAATGGGAGTCCCTATCTTTTAGCAATAGATTCTGATAGTTACAAATAAAATAATTTGATGTTTGGGATTTGCTTCAAAATAATAATCTAGGATCAGGCATGTAGGTATACATAAAGGGAAGACAAGATTGGCCATGAGTTGCTGCATGTTAAAGCTGGAGGATGAGAACATGAAAATTAATTCTACTTTTTTATATGTTTGAAAATTTCCTTCAAGATATACAAATATGTAAGTGTGTGTGCATACATACTACTGAGGGGCCACAAAACAAACCCCAGACAATGATTTCTGAAGAGCTTATGAACCTGTACCTAAGAGATAATGAAGAGCAAGCTCCAATACTTCAGCTCTAAAAGCAGCCTAAAGATGGCCAGGTTATAACTGTCCTGTGAAGATTTGAGATTTTGTCTTGCTCAAGCCCATGGGATGAAATAGAAAGTTCAGATGTCTAGGCATGACCACTTTCTTCTGGAGCAAGATGTCAATGAAACCTTTCATGTACCTGCCCGACAAAAAGCAGCTTGAGGCATCCTAGAGTTGCTGAGCATAAAGAGGGGGTGCTTGGTTTGTAATGATGAATCCAAAGTCAAAACCTAAAGTTCTAGGTAGGAACCAACAGAAAACAAAACAAAAACATTTTTAAATAGAAAATGGGCTGGATAAGTGCAGGAAACCAAGATATGATGCCACACAGATCAGGAGGGAAAGGAGCTAAAATATGAAGAGGGTGGAGAGGTACAGAAACTCATAAATATTCTTTGTGGGTGGGGGCTGGTAGGAGTTTTTCATGAAGCAGCCATGTCAGAAGCAAATAAGGAGCTGACAGAGACAGATGTGTAAAATTTTTAAATGAAAGTAAAAGTGCTACAAAATCTGTGAAACTGCACACACAGGAAGAACTACTGTGAGGCTATTGACTGTAGACAATGAGGCAGAGTGTCAACCATTTGTGAGGCACTATTCTAAGCACCTGGCATACAGTTATTTTTTTTTAAACCTGCAACATTCAGCTAACATTCTAGTGGAAGAGATAAATGTATTTGCCAATTATTTAAAAATGTAATAATTTCACCTTTTTCATTTACACAGAAAGCGTGGCCTCCAGTTTGCTGCAGTCCCCACCATTTCCTATTGTCTTATATTCTTCCTACTTCACTCAATTTATGTTATCTGCCTGAGCCCCTCAGGCTTTTGAGTGACACCAGGTCTCTAATGTCCTGGGCTACTTGTGACACTAGGCTCTCTTAAAAACCACCAAATTGCCCAAGGACTATATAAGAGACCCTATTCTTAGTTGAATATGAATTCTGAGCTGTCAGTCCCAAGTAACCTTGAGCAATGATATACCACTTCGCTGAGATCTCAGTGTCCTTAACTCTAAAGTGAAGGTAATCCTATCTTCTTTACAGGATTTCTGTTGGATCAGGCATATAGGTCAGCTCTTATTCCTGCTTTGGATCTCAACCCTAGCATTACTTTCTCAAAGAAAGCTTCCCAGACTTCCTGACTAGGGCAATAAAATATGTAGGTTCACAGCATCACGTTTCGCAGTTGCAACTGTACCTAAGTTTGTAGTCTATTTCATTAACCACCCTGTAAGTTCAGAGGTAGCAGGATCCTGTTTGTACTCACAACCTATCACCCTGCCTCGCATAAAACAGGTGCTCAATACAGATTCTTTTAAAGAGAGGAAAACAAAGAAATGAAAGACCAGAAAGCTGGGTAGACCATCCCTGGCCTCCACGAGGTGCTCCCCAGCTTCGCTGACCCTCTCTCACTGAATGCCTGAGGAGGGAGTGCCAGTAAGGGGCACAGTATGCTGGGCACAGCGTGGTCTGGGGCTCCACCGAAGCTGGCTGACTCCGGCAGCTGGTCCAGGCGCCGCCAGCGCCGCCTCCGCCAGAAGGGGAAGTGGAGCCGGGGCGCTGTTGGCAGAGATCTCCTCCTATGAGGTCAAGCCGCACTGCTTCCTCAGAGCTCGAGTGGCCGGAACTCCCAACACCAAGAGACAGCCTCACCCTGCTCCTCCGAACGTATGGAGCCACGCACAGGTGGTCCCACAGGAGAAAGGCCGTTTACCCCACAGGAAAGCGAAACCGACTCAAGTCCTCCCGAAGGCTACCACCTGCACAAGGCGCGCCGACACACCACTGAGACGGAAACAACCCCCTCCCTACGCTTATCCCTCCTTCTTCTACTGATGAAAGGGCTTTGCACCTCCTCCCCAGGGCTGCGCATCCCACTGGGAGACGTTCCTGGGCCTTCTAGATTCCCCAGTGTGAGGGAGGACCCCACGGCCCGTTCTCGCACTGTCCACTAGGTCCCGCTCTGTCCCCGCGCCCAAGAAAAGAGCCTCAGTACCCCTACTCCCTCCCGAAGCCCTTCAGCGACGAGTCTCAGCTACGTGCGCTCTCGCGAGACTCCACCCCACAGCCGCTCCCACCTCAGACCCTCCCCGGCGAGAAAGTGCCTCCAGGCGCCCGCGGTGAGAGGCTGCGGGTGGCGCATGCGTGGCTGCGGCTCCCAGCGCACCCCGCGCAGTCCTCGGGAGGTGTGTTCGCGGTCACGCACGGGGAGCTGACACCCTCCCTCTAAGAGGCCTGGCTTGGTCCCCTTCGCTGCTCTCCCTTCAGAGGAGGAATCTCTTCGCGGCCTGTCTTCGGCGCGCAGAGGTTTTGTGAGGACGGCTAGGCCGCCCAGGGCCAGGAAACCCGGCGCTGGCCCCAGACTCCGCCGGCCCGCACAGACCTCCACGGCGGCCTGGGCGCTCCTCCCTCCCGGAGCCCGCACGTCCTGCACCTCCCACAGGAGTCCTCGCCTCTCCCCACCCCAACGCTTGGTGTCCGACGCTACCCCTCCGGGCATGGCTGTGCGTCCGCACCCCCCCTTCCTTCGGTTCCTTCCGTTTTCTCCCAGCCCTCCAGCCTCGCCGAGTCCTCCACGGCGCTAAAAGAAATGCGACCCGGACAGCCACATCCCGGGGACACATCTTGTTCGGAGAAGAGGCCCAGTTTGGGGACTTCGGTGTACACATTTACCCGTGTCAGTGGCCAAGGGTATTTGATGTATTTGATTAATCAGCCTGGAATACCTGTTCGGGCAGACACTGCCGTTCTCCCTCCCCGCCTTCCCCGCGTGTCCAATGAAGCAGGTTGCCCTGGGAGGTGTGGTTTGAGTCTACTTTGAGCTGAACGTGAGGTTGACTGCTGTGTGAGAGCATGGACCTTCAGACGGACGCTCCCCTGGAGGTTGAGGGGTGCCTGATAATGAAGGTGGAGAAGGACCCCGGGTGGACATCGGAGCTGGGTCTGGAAGAACCGGGGAGCTCAGAATCTGAGACCCTGCGCAAATGCTTCCGGCATTTTTGTTATGAGGATGTGAGCGGACCCTACGAAGCTTTCAGTAAACTCTGGGAACTTTGCTGCCGGTGGCTGAAGCCAGAAATGCGTTCCAAGGAGCAGATCCTTGAGCTGCTGGTCGTTGAGCAGTTTCTCACCATTTTACCGGAGAAGATTCAGGCGTGGGCACAGAAGCAGTGTCCGGAGAGTGGCGAGGAGGCGGTGGCCCTGGTGATACATTTGGAGAAAGAGGCTGGAAGACTAAGACAGCAGGTGAGAGGGCATTTTCCAAATTTTTGTTTTAGAAAGAAGGCGGTAAGTAGGGCATGTGCACATTGCAGGAAGTGCTCATTACGGAAGGATAGTGGTATGCACTTGAAAGGAAATCAGAATTTCATATTAAGTAGAATAAAAGCTGTAGTTGAAATAGTATCTTGCCAATGAAACTAAATCGTATTCATCCAGATATTTGTTTCAAGTCTTTGGCGTAATGTTTCCCAAAAAATTCTGTGAGAGAATTTATGCTTCACAGGGTTTGACTTTACAGCTTGGTCCTAAAGAGGGCTGTGGGGGGAGGAGGGAAGGGAGTAAGCATTTAAGTTATCCCAGGGTCCTCTCTAATCCTTTAATATTCCAATCAGTGTCTTCTTCTGAAGTGACCTCAAAGCCATCATCCTGTTAGACATTTCCAGTTTAACTGCCAGGTCTTCATTTGTCAGTGGCTTTGCATGGTCTTCTAGATGTTTTTCAACAGACCTTACATTAAATCCTGCAAGATATGCAGGATTGCATTTCTGTAAAAATCTGACGACAAGCATGCTTCTGTTTTGGTCAAAGATAGACACTAAATGTGGAGATTATATTTCCATTTCACTAGGGAATTTGTGTTCTGATAATTCTCTATGAACCTAGTCTATATGAGGACTCAAATAATATCTATTCTAAACAAGAAGGCTCTGTATTTCATGCCTGAAAGACAGATTTCCCTCTTTGTATATTAATATTCACTATTCCCTTATGTTCAGTCTTATGGACAATACTATTAACCCAGTGCCTTTGAAGCCTCAGTTGGGAATAGACTGAAATTTTCATTCCTTTTCACATCTTTTGTCCTTCTTTAATGTCTTTCCTGGGGGAGTTTGGATGTCCTCTCACACTCTTTTCCTCTCTTTTTTCATTATGGCTTTGGTTTTATTTTCCAGGTTTGCATTCCTGTGCACTCAGAGAATCAAGCCCCACTTGGAGCAGTGTCAGATGTGGCAGACTTTCAACCAGAGACCCAACCCAGAGCGATGTCTTGGGAAGAAGCTGGAAGCCTGCACTCAGGACACCAGGAGCAGCTGAACCCAAAGAGAGAACATCAGCCCTTACCCAAGAATGGTAAGAACTCAGAAGACGCCCAGTACAGACCATGGCAGATTTATTTTTAAACTTTTAATCTGACTTACACAACCTCTGACCAAGAGGCAAGATCCACTACTACATACCCCACTTCCTTATCTCTCCCGAAATTCATGTTATGATAGAATGCATTGCAAATATTTATGGTTTCTGCATTTTCTGGTGTGTTTTCATAGCATCTAGGTTCCTTGGTCACATGAATTAAATGCTCCGTTACTTTAGCTGATAAACTTAGTCCAGTAAATTCCCGGTGTTTGATTCTGCCATTCCAGGGTGATAAGGAATTCCTAAAGTAGAAAGGTTTGTTCTGTTGAGGTACTTGGGTTGTGGAGGACAGAAAATTTGTGGGATAGATTTCTCAGAAGGGTGAATTCGTTCTAAAAGAAGACCTGTGATTTTGTCCATGTGTGCCTAAGGGAATAATAAGTTTCGAAAGAAGTGATTTGATTTGCTTCTGTAGAAGCAGTAGAGCAATGATACATATATATATATATATATGTGTATATATATATGTATATATATATATATATATATATATATATATAAAATATATATATATTTTCCCCCATCTTTTGAGGGTTGTGTTGCCTGTCCAGGACCATGTAACTTCTTTAGCATACTAAAGGGGATTAACATAGGGTAGAGACTGCAAACTGGTCACTCACATGCCAAGTAAGACTTGTTTCACCTGCAAAGGTTTTTGATTGGGGGGTTTATTTGTTTGTTTTTCGTTCTCAAGTTTTAAGACTTTCAACATTTTACACAAACATCCAGAATTCTGAGTTTTCTTTAAAAATTTAGAACCTCAGCTATTCCAGGGCCATAGTCTCACAAGGAAGCATCAACTGGGGCTGAGCTTGGCTGTACCTTCTCAAATGCAACATGTACTCCCACACGCCTTACCTGGCTCATTTCATGATGCACTCTGTCCGATTTCTCTAAAAGGATTGGCATTTTTGAGTTCTGCTTTAGGTTACCATTGTTATAAGCATAGTTCTGAACTCAGTGAGAAAATGATCAGCTTGTATTTGTTGCTTTTAAAAATTTATTTATTTATTTTAACTGTATTTAATTGATTATGCTATTACAGTTGTCCCATTTCCCCACTTCACTCCCCTTCACCATGCACACCCTCTCCAACCACATTCCCCAGTTTAATTCATGTCCATGTGTCATAAGTTCCTTAGCTTCTACATTTCCCACACTACTCTTGCCCTCCCCCTGCCTATTTTCTCCCCAACGTCTATGCTACTTATTCTCTGTACCTTTTCCCTCTCTCTCCCCCTCCCACTCTCCTGTTGATAACCCTCCATGTGATCTCCATTTCTGTGGTTCTGTTCCTGTTCTAGTTGTTTGCTTAGTTTGTTTTTGTTTTTGTTGTAGGTGTGGTTGTTAATAATTGTGACTTTGCTATCATTTTACTGTACATGTTTTTTATCTTTTTCCTAGAAAGTCCCTTTAACATTTCACATAATAAGGGCTTGGTGATGATGAACTCCTTTAACTTGACCTTATCTGAGAAGCACTTTATCTGCCCTTCCATTCTAATTGAAAGATTTGCTGGATAGAGCAATCTTGGATGTAGGTCTTTGGAGTTCATGACTTGGAATACTTCTTTCCAGCCCCTTCTTGCCTGTAAGGTCTCTTTTGAGAAATCAGCTTTGACAGTCTGATGGGAACACCTTTGGAGGTGACTGTCTCCTTATCTCTTGCTGCTTCTAGGATTCTCTCCTTCATTTTAATCTTGGCTAATGTAATGATGATGTGCCTTGGTGTGTTCCTCCTTGGGTCCACCTTCTTTGGGACTCAGCTTCCTGGACTTCTCGGAATTCTATTTCCTTTGCCAGATTGGGGAAGTTTTCTTTCATTATTTGTTCAAATAAGTTTTCAGTTTCTTGCTCTTCCTCTTCTCCTTCTGGCATCCCTATAATTCAGATGTTGGAACATTTAAAGATGCCCTGGAGGTTCCTAAGCCTCTCCGTATTTTTTTTGAATTTTTATTTCTTCATTCTTTTCTGGTTGATTGTTTCTTTTTTTTCTAGTCCACACCATTGATTTGAGTCCCAGCTTCCTTCCTGTCACTGTTGGTTCCCTGTACATTTCCCTTTATTTCACGTAGCATAGCCTTCATTTTTTCATCTAATTTGCAACCAAATTCAACCAATTCTGTGAGTATCCTGATTACAGTTGGTATGAACTGTATATCTGATAGGTTGTCTATTTTTTGTCACTTACTTGTATTTTTTCTGGAGCTTTGATCTGTTCTTTCATTTGGGCCATTTTTTTAAACTCCACACATCTATTATGCAGTAAGGGGGGAGCCTTAGGTGTTCACCAGGGCAGGGCAACCCACGTCACTGCACAATATGGCCCTGTATGTGGGGGAGGGGTTCGAGAGGGGGCAATGGCGCTTGCTCCACTCTCTGCCAGTGTTCAGTCACTTTCCCTCCTATCCACAATCAAATTGGACTTTTCTGGTACTGATTCCTGGGTAGGTGGGCTTGTGTATGTTCTAGGACCCTGTGGGTCTCTCCAATAAACTCTCCTGTGAGGCTGGGAGTTTTCGCTCACTGCCACAACCCACACAGGTATTTTTAATCAAAGGTTTGAGGCTTTACTTCCCCTCACTGAAACCCTGGGTTGCTCCTTCTGTCTCGCTCCCCTGTTTCTCCAGGTTTATCTGCCCTCAAATGTGGGACCACCCAGTCCACAATCCGCTGCCTGGCTGGATCCTCCAGCCTTGCCTGCCAGGGTCCTCCAGCTGCCACCTTGCTGCTGCCACCTTGCCACAAGTCCTCTCCACCAAACTGTCTGTCTCCACCCCTCCTACTGATCTGGACGAATGTTTCTTCTTTAACTCCTTGGTTGTTGGATTCTATACAGTTTGATTTTCTGTCAGTCCTGGTTGTTTTTTGTTTTTGAATTATTGTCCTTCTTTTGGTTGTAAGAGGAAGCACAATGTATCTACGTATGCCTCCATCTTGGCCGGAAGTTCCTTTGCGTCTTTTTACACACTCATTTCTTAAGGGATGTAGCATGAATTCAAGGGCCAGAGGCCAGAACATGAACTGTTTCTTTCTCTTACAGCTCAGCCTTCTCCCTGGGTTCCCATCCCTACTGAAGAATGGAACATCATAGATCGGGAAGTAACAACCACAAAACTTCCTGTTGGGTTTCAGGTAAATTGTATTGTTCTCTCTGACTTTCCTTTGTAGGGTATGCAGGCACAATGATTTCCTGGGCCTTCACAGTCCTCAGATTTTTGTACTCCCAAGAGACCTTTTCCCCATTGTTCCTTTTCCACAAAAGACGACCGTTTCTGAGTACTGGAACACCACAATGGATCATCTCTCTTAGGATTCTTTTTTTTAAGTATTTTTATTGATTATGCTATTACAGCTTTCCCAATTTTTCCCTTTATTCCCCCTCCACCCTGCCCCCCAACCCTCCAGCATTCCCCCCCTTAGTTCATGTCCATGGGTTGTACATATAAGTTCTTTGAGTCTTCTCCTTCCTATACCATTTTTATGCCTACTAATTATGCTCTCCTCATCTATTTTATGCCTACTAATTATGCTTCTCCCCTGTACCTTTTCCCCCTATTCTTCCCTTCCCCCTCCCCACTGAAATCTCTCCATGTGATGTCCATTTCTCTGATTCTGTGCCTGTTCTAGTTGTTTGCTTAGTGTGGTTTTGTTTTTCTTTTCTTTTAGGTTCAATTGTGGATAGTTGTGAATTTGTTTTCATTTTACTGTTCATATTTTTGGTCTTCTTTTTCTTAGATAAGTCCCTTTAGTGCTTCATATAATAATGGCTTGGTGATGATGAACTCCTTTAACTTGACCTTATCTGGGAAGCACTTTATCTGCCCTTCCATTTTAAATGATAGCTTTGCTGGATGGAGTAATTTTGGATGTCAGTCCTTGCCTTTCATGACTTTAAACACTTCTTCCCAGCACCTTCTTGCCTGCAAGGTTTCTTTCGAGAAATCAGCTGATAGTCTAATGGGAACACCTTTGTAGGTAACTGTCTCCTTTTCTCTGGCTTCTTTTAGGATTCTCTCTTTATCTTTAATCTTGGGTAACTTAATTATGATGTGCCTTGGAGTGTTCCTCTTTGGGTCCAACTTCTTTGGGACTCTCTGAGCTTTCTGGACTTCCTGGAAGCAATCCTTCAGCAGATTGGGAAAGTTTTCCTTCATTATTTGTTCAAATAAGTTTTCAATTTCTTGCTGTTGTTCTCCTCCTTCTGGCACCCCTATAATTCAGATATTGGAATGTTTCAAGTTGTCCCAGAGGTTCCTAGGCCTCTCTTCATTTTTTCAAATTCTTGTTTCTTCCTTTTCTTCTGGATGGATGTTTATTTCTTTCCTTTGTTCCAAATCTTTGCTTTGAGTCCTGGTGGTTTTTTTTTTTTCTGTCACTGTTGGTTCCCTGAATATTATGTTTTACTTCACTTTGGATATTCTTCATTGTTTTTTCATTTTTTGACCAAGCTCAATCAGATCTCTGAGTATTTAGATTACCAGATTTTTTAATTCTCCATCAGATAGATTGGCGATCTCTTCCTCACTTAGTTCTCTTTCTGAGGCTTTGCTCTGTTCTTTCATTTGAGCCATATTTCTTTGTCTTAGCAGAGCTGATATGTTGTAAGGGGGCAGGCCCTTAGGTATTCACCTGGCAGGGCAACCCTCTTTGCTATACTCTGGGGCTGCCTGTGGGGGAAGGGCCAGAGAGGAAACAGTGCAGCTCATCTGCTCATCTCTGGAGCACTTTTCAGCAAACTCTGGTGTGAGGCTGGGAATATCTCCCACTGTGGCAACACTAGCCATAGCCCACAGTCATCTCAGAGTCTCAGTTTCCCCTTAAGTCAGCCCCTCCCACACAGCCCCGGAGCTAGGCAGCCAGCCCTGCCCCCAAGGCTGCCACATTGATGCGGTTTTTCAGAGGTCTACCACCTTGCCAGTCTGGTTGTTCTGGTTGATTTTTTCTTTAATTCCTTGGTTCTCAGAGTTCTTTGCAATTTGATTTTCTGGTGCTTTTGGTTGTTTATGAATTTTAGATTGGTTGTTATCCTTCTTTTGGTTGTATAAGGAAGCAAAGGGTTTCTACCTATGCCTCCATGTTGCCCAAAACTCTGATTGTCTCTTAGGATTCTTTTTTTTATTGATTATGCTATTACAGTTGTCCCATTTTCCCCCCTTCACTCCTCTCCACCCTGTACACCCCCTCCCACACACATTCCCCATCTTTAGTTCATGTCCATGGATTGTACATACAAGTTCTTTGGCTTCTATATTTCCTATACTATTCGTACCCTCTCCCTTTCTATTTTCTACCTACCATCTATGCTACTTATTCTCTGTACCTTTTCCCCCTCTATCACCCTCCACTCCCCTGCTGATAACCCTCCATATGATCTCCATTTCTGTGTTTCTGTTTCCTGTTGTTGTTGTTTGCTTACTTTGCTTTTGTTTTTATTTTAGGTGTGGTTGTTAATAATTGTGAGTTTGCTGTCATTTTACTGATCATATTTTTATCTTCTTAGATAAATTCCTTTAACATTTCATGTAATAAGGGCTTGCTGATGATGAATTCCTTGAACTTGACCTTATGTGGGAAGCACTTTATCTGCCCTTCCATTCTAAATGAAAGCTTTGCTGGATAGAGCAATCTTGGATGTAGCTCCTTGCCTTTCATGACTTGGAATACTTCTTTCCAGCACCTTCTTGCCTGTAAATTCTCTTTTGAGAAATCAGCTGACAGTCTTATGGGAACTCCTTTGTAGGTGACTGTCTACTTTTTTATTGTTGCTTCTACGATTCTCTCCTGATCTTTAATCTTGGGTAATGTAATTATGATGTGCTTTAGTGTATTCCTCCTTGGGTCCAACTTCTTTGGGACTCTTTGGGTTACTGAACTTCCTGGAAGTCTATTTCCTTTGCCAGGTTGGGGAAGTTCTCCCTCATTATTTGTTCAAATAACTTTTCCACTTGTTGCTCTTCCTCTTCTCTGTCTGGTACCCCTATAATTCAGACGTTGGAATGTTTAAAGATGTCCTGGAGGTTCCTAAGCCTCTCCTCATTTTTTTTAATTCTTGTTTTTTTCATTTTTCTAGTTAAGTGTTTCTTTCTTCCTTCTGGTCCACACCATTGATTTGAGTCCCAATTTCCTTCCTGTCACTGCTGGTTCCTTGTACATTTTCCTTTATTTCATGTAGCATAGCCTTCATTTTTTCATTTAATTTGCAACCAAATTCAACCAGTTCTGTGAGCATCCTGATTACCAGTGGTATGAACTGTACATCTGATAGGTTGTCTATCTCTTCATCACTTAGTTGTATTTTTTCTGGAGCTTTGATCTGTTCTTTTGTTTGGGCCATTTTTTTTTTTTTTTTTTTTTTTGCCTTGACATGCCTGTTACATAGTGAGGGGCAGAGCCTTAGGTGTTATTCAGGGTGGGATAACCCCTGTTGCTGCACATTATGGCCCTGTATGTGGGAAGGGGTCTGAGAGGTAACAAAGGCACTTGCTTCACTCTCTGCTGGATTTCAGTCACTTCCCCCACTTCCCACAATCAAATTGGGCCTTTCTGGTGCTGATTCCTGGGTGGGTGAGCTTGTGTATGTTCTAGGACCCTGTGGGTCTTTCCAGTGAACTCTCCTTTGAGGCTGGGAGTTTCTCCCGCTGCCACAACCCCCACAGGTATTTTCAATCAGAGGTTTGAGGCTTTATTTCCCCTCACTGGGGCCCTGGGTTGCGCAGTCTGTCCCACTGACCAGTTGTTCCTCCCAGGTTTTCTACCCTGCAAATGTGGGACTGCCCAGTCCATAATCCACCCCCTCACTGGGTCTGCCCTCTGCTGCTTTGCCAGCCAGCTGCAGCCTTGAGCACCCCTCTCCATAATCCACCACCTCACTGGGTGTGCCAGCTGCCACCTTGCCACAAGCCTTCTCCACCAGGCTGTCCATCTACACCCCTCCTACCGGTCTGGTCTAATATGTCTTCTTTTATTCCTTTGTTGTTGGACTCCCATACAGTTTGATTTTCTGTCATTTCTGGGGGTTTTTTGTTTTTGAATTGTTGTTGTCCTTTTGGTTATGTGAGGAGGCACAGTGTGTCTTCCTGTGCCCCCATCTTGGCCAGAAGTCTGTCTCTTAGGATTCTCTATAGTATCCTCTGCTTCATTTGTCACAGAATGTGTGAGGTCTGTCCAGAAAGTATCCAGCAATGTGATAGGAAAAATAGAGGCATTTATTGAAAATACAAGATACAAAAAACATTGTACATAGGCCATTGACACCTCAGTCCCCTTCAAAGTAGGCATCTTGGAACCTCACTCACTTATTCCAGTATCTCTTCCTTTCACTGTCCAAATCACTCTGCAAAATCCTTTGTTGGAATTAACATTAGCTGCTCCATTTTATTTTCCTGAATCTCATCGACTGTGAAATTTCTTCCCTTTCAAAGGTGATTTTAGTTTTAAGAAAAGCCAGAAGTCACAGGGCACCAAATCTGGGCTGTAGGGGGCTGAGTCACCTGGGTGATTTGATGTTTCACCAAAAAAACTCTGCATGAAACATGATACATGAGTGGGTGAATTGTAATGATGAAGTTGCCAATCACCAATTGCTCATAGCTGTGACCATTTTCATTGATTGCATCTCTCAACCAATGGAGAATATTGAGGCAGCACTACTTACTAATTTTTGGGCCTGGAGGGGTGTACTCATGATGTACAAACACCTTCCCAATCAAAAAACACAGTTAAAGCCCTGGCTGGTGTGGCTCAGTGGATTGAGCGCAGGCCTGCGAACCAGACAATTGCGGTTCGATTCCCAGTCAGGGCACATGCCGGGGTTGCAGGCCGGTTCCCTGTAGGCCAGTTCCCAGCAGGGGATGCACGAAAGGCAACCATACATTGATGTTTCTCTCCCTCTCTCCTTCCCTTCCCCTCTAAAGATAAATAAATAAAATCTTTAAAAAAAAACAAAACACAGTCAAGATGGTCTTAAAACACAGTTAACATGGTCTTGATATTGCTACGACTTTGTCATGACTTCTTCAGGCATGCAGAACCAGGCAACTTCCACTGGGATGACTGGGTCTTTGTTTCCAGATCATACCCGTAAACCCAAAATTCATCTCCAGTTATGACCTTCTTGAGGAAATCTGGTTCATTGGTGGTAGTTTGAATCAAGTCATTAGCAACTGCAGCACAATGTTCCTTCTGCTCTGGTAAGTAGAAGCTGTAGAACAAATTTTGCCACAGCATGTTTTGTGCCCAGATCCTGCACCAAAATGTCAGACACAGTAGTTTTTGGAATTCCCAGATTAACTTCTAATTCTCACACTGTCAGCTGCCAATCTTTGTTGATTACAGACCATGCACATTCAACATTCACAGGTGTTCTGCTTGTTGCAGGCCTTCCAGAATGTGGATCGCTTTTGAAATATTCTCCACCACCTTTGAAGTATTTGTACCACACTTTTATTGGCACTGCACTCATTGCATCATCCTTGAAAGCCTTCTGAATCATTTGAATAGATTCTATGGAGGAATGTTCCAGCTTAATGCAAAATATAGAGATCCATTGCTCTACTCACTCATGTGATGGCCACACAATACAAATGCTCATTCAGTGGCGTCTACCACCCCCACTAACTAGTACAGTGAAGTCATCATTCACGCATGCACATTCCAGTCCATTCTCCTTAGCTGCCAGGTTACATTGATGTCACACAAACTATTCTCATTATATTAACAATGGTTGGACTTTTTCTGGATGGACCTTGTACAGTTGGTTCCTTGGTTTTAATTATTTTGGGGGTTCCTTCTATGCTTCATTCAATATTGTTCATCCTTCAAAGACCCACATGGTTATCTTGGTAGTCATTGCTGTTAGTGTTGTTACAGGGACCAGTGGAAGATGTCCACACAGCAAGAGGTTTTTCCTACAAGAAGTGTGTACATCAGATTCCTACTCACAGAGATGTCTACTGGGATATTAGAAAAGAGAGTGTTGGAAACATGGTCTCCTTGGGTAAGGATTCTTTTCCTTTTCAGATAAAAGATTTGGAGATTTCTAACATATTCATTCTGTTGATAATAAAATAGTTGTAGATGTTAACACTTAAAGGACTTTCATGAGTTGTCTAATCATTTTTCACTCTAGTTTACCAGACCTTGTAATCACTTACCCATATTCTCTTGCCTCATTCACCCCTTTCTTCTCATTTATAATTTACATATATTTTTTATAATTTAGTGATTAAAACATTGGAGGGCTATTATATATAACTGTCATTTATATTATTTAAATGTAAACTTATACACATTGACTAGTTGTTTTTGTTTAAATATAGTAAACATAACAATTTTCACAGAGCCTGACATAAGGGTAGGTACCCAGTGAATATATGTTGGGTAAATGGAAATCATGTAAATGGGAGAAAAAAAAACTTTAATACAATAATCTCAATTGCATGTTGTGAATTATTAAAATGGCACAAATTCACAGGCACACATTACCACTGAAGTGTCACTTTAACAGCAAACTTTTGCTTTAACAGTAAGGCTAAATATGATTCATTCATATGTAAGCCACAAGTCAAAGAGTACTTATAAATGAAATTATAGGCCTAAAATGTGCACTAATACATACTATAGCTACTTTGTGTTGTCTAATAGGGTAACCACTAGCCACACATGGCTATTTAAATTTATAAAATTAATTAAAGTTAAAAATTCTGTTTCTCAGTGCTGGTGGCCACAATTAAAGAATACATTTAACAAATTCAGTAGCTGTATTGGACACTGCAGTTATAGAACATTCCCATCATCCCAGAAAGTTCTACTGAACAACACTACATATAGACATTAAAATATAGAGATTATGAAATAGTCTGTGCCAAACTGAATGAATAAGATATACTGGTAATTGTTTATATATTGATAGAAAACAGTTTTTTTAAAGTGACCAACTTCAGACCAACTGATGACAAACCAGTAACATAGCACTCTTCCCAGAAGAGCAGATATCCCAGCTAATTGTGTGCAACCAGGCATTTACCTAGTTGTGTACACGATGGATGTTTCCTAGTGTTTTCTTGGATCACACAGCATCCAGACCTAGTAGATGCTGCATGAGTGGGATAGGGACCATACTTTAAAAATACAGGTTTAGTGCAGCACCTTCACATATAATTATAGATTATTAAAGACTCAGGCCCAGACCTGCCCCAATTTTTTATCATAGATTGTATACAAATGTCTCATGGACTGAATCTAGCCTATATATATATATTTTGGCCTTGCACAGAGATTTAATTTAAATTTAGATTGTAGGTCTGGATTTCCAGTATCTTGAAAAATTAAATGCAGGGCATTATGAACTCAGAGTGACTTCAGAATAAGAGAGCTCATGCTGAACTGTGGCTTTTCTCACTCCTGCCGTCTCATGCAGCTAGGTTGCCAGCCTTGTTCTTATAGATACTGAGCTTTCATTGTCCCTACACTTACTTCTCCCATGTAAAAATAAAGAGTAAATCTCCAATCCCAGGGTTCTTTCAGAAGGGGTTTGATTTGATGTTTCTTATCTAGGAGAATTCCATGAAGCTTCTTTTTGTGTTACCTAGAGAAGAAAAACTTTTATTATAAACTTACTAGGCATTGGACACTTTACAAATGATCATTTATTTGATACTCCTAGCAACCTTTTTGAATAGATTATATTATTCCCTAGGAAACTGAGGATCAGAAAGATTAAGAAACTTCCCTGATCAAAAAGTTAAGTGGTAGAGCTAGGATGCACATTTAAGGCAGGTTGCTTTCTAGGTATTATACTCTCAGCTTGCTTCCCTATTCTTACGTTTGCTTCCCTATTTAGCTTGCCAGATGTGTCTGGAAATTCTTGACTTCTCATCTCTCATGGTTCAGTATGTATGTGTGTGTCATGGGAGTGGGGAAGTATGAGGAGCAGATGTAAGCACACTTTATAAGTAACAAACACTGGTTAGGAGGATACTTTGAACCTAATGCTGTGTAGGGTACTGTGAGGGACTCAAAGGTAATGAAATATGTTATTTAACCTTAAAGTTTTTCCTTTAAGAACCAGCTGGGGAAATAAGTGGTATGTACATGGAAAATAAAATGAGAGTGTAAGTTAGATGATTGTGCCAGAGAACTCATGTAATAATAACTACAGTGTGTGCTGTCATAGTTGAGAAGGGCCCTAGAAAAAGGGGATTGGACAGGACTTGAAGGACAGGTGTGAACAGTGGTTCAGTAGAGCACGCTGCCAGCAGAAGGTTAGGGCATGCAGTAACAAATGACCTCCATATGTACTATGAAGTTTGTTTCTCTTGCTATAGGAAGTACAGTATCTACTTCTAACAAAATGGCCCAGGTGGATCAAAGAAAGGAGCCCTGGACCATAGGTCTACATTCCTCTAATAAAAGGAATACTCTACGAAGTAACTACATCAAGGAAAAGCCAGTTCATACTATTCAGATTCCTGCAAGGAATGCAGGGAAGATGTGGAAAGAACAACAACAGTGGGGCTTAGAAGATGAAAAAATAGCAGGTGTGCATTGGAGCTATGAGGAAACAAAGACTTTTCTTGCAATTCTCAAAGAATCTCGATTTTATGAAACACTTCAGGCTTGTCCCCGAAACAGCCAGGTATATGGTGCTGTAGCTGAATGGCTGCGAGAGTGTGGCTTCCTCCGAACCCCAGAACAGTGTCGAACCAAGTTCAAAAGTCTCCAAAAGAGCTACCGAAAAGTAAGAAATGGCCATGTTCTTGAGCCCTGTGCCTTCTTTGAGGACATGGATGCACTGCTGAACCCTGCAGCCCATGGGTCATCCACTGACAAGCTAAAGGAGACTGTGTCTCTCCCTAGACTAAAGGAAATTGGTGTCAGTGCTAAAGAACAGATCAGTTTGATGGAAGAGGAAGCTGCAGAAGAATCTGATAGTGAGGAAATGGGCATCGAATTCCTCCAGAAGTCTGAGATGCATGGCACCCCTGTCTTGTTTCAGAACCTGAGCGGTAAGAATTGTGCTTTTTGTTTGGTTTGAAAATGCATGATGCGGTCTTGTGGAAAAAGGAGTAGTCCTAGAGAGTGATGTCATGTATACCTTGCCTCCAATCACTGTTACTAGCCAGAAGTATTGTCAGGGGTTTGTTGCTGCCTACAGTGCAGTCAGAACAGCACTGAGAGGCCATGGAGGATTCATTTTGAGGTTAGAGTACAGCATGGATTTTGAGTACTTGGGGCCTGTGGAAGGAAGAGAAATGAAGTAACAGGACTTTAAGGACCTAATATTATGAGAATTGGTGCAAAGCAATCAAGTGTATTAGACTGTAGTAAGTCAAAGATATATTCTTATACTATCTAGAATAACTAGTGAAAGACTATGTAACAAAAAAAGAGTAAAAAAATGAAATTCTAGGCCCTAGCTGGTGTAGCTCAGTGGATTGAGCGTGGGCCTGCAAACCACACAATCGCGGTTCAATTCCCAATCAGGGCACATGCCTGGGTTGCAGGCCAGTTACCAGTGGGGGACTCACAAGAGGCAACCATACATTGATATTTCTCTCCTCTCCCCCTCTAAAGATAAATAAATAAAATCTTTAAAAAATGAAATTCTAAAAGAAGTCAAGAAAGAGAAAAGGTAGATGTAAATCCAAATATATCTTCAATTACAAACTTAAAAGACTATTATAAATTTAATATGTGATGCTTACAAGAGATATATCTTAAATATAATAACACAGAGACATTGAAATTAAAAGTACAGAAAATATGCCATATACCATATAAAAGAAAGCTGGTGTTATAATTTGGAAGCTGGAACATGTAGGACTAAACTGCCAGTTAATAACTGTGACAGTAGACACGTCATGTAAGTACTTTGAGCTTCAGTTTTCTTACCTGTAAAGTATACCTGAGAGTGCCAGAGTTATTAAATGAGATGACATACATGAAGGCATTCTGTAAATGGTAAAATGCAACATAACATTGCCTGGTATCACTGTTATTAGTAATATTTCTCTACTCCATCTTATAAAAAAGATAAGTTTTTAGATAGAATGGAAAAATAAATTAGGCAGGAGATCTGAGAGTATACATATGATTATACCTGTTCAAAAGAAATAGATCTCAGGAAAAAGATGGGAAGATGCGTTGTTATGTGTGCACAGGTATTCACCAATCTGGAAATCCATAGACATATAAGGGTGGGGCTCTTCATATGGTCTTTTTTTTTTAAGATTTTTTATTTATTTATCTTTAGAAGGGAAGGGAAGGAGAGAGGGAGAGAAACATCAATGTATGGTTGCCTCTCATGTGTCCCCTGCTGGGAACCGGCCTGCAACCCAGGCATGTGCCCTGACTGGGAATCGAACCGCGATTTTCTGGTTCGCAGGCCTGCGCTCAGTCCACTGAGCTACACCAGCCAGGGCTTCATATGGTCTTAAATAGGAGAATCCAGTGGTGGAAGTGGAAGAGACTACCCAGTAAGATGAGGACAGAATTGACTTTTTCCTACTTGCAAGACATAAAAAGCTACTAAGACATAAGTAGGTTTGTTAAACCTACTTGTTTAACAAACTGTATTCCAGCATATTCTAAACAGTTTTATTCTGCTGTAAAAGCAGAACCTCTGCTTGTCTTACAGAACATTTCATCTCTCAAAATATAGAGGACTCACTGATGTCAAAAACTACTCTGAACTTAACTCTATTCTTTGAGGAAGACTGGTTTAAAAAGTGATAGGAATTTGGGGGTGGGAAATTCCTACTGGGTGTCTCAGTCCATTATTCTTAACTGGACTTAGCTAATCACCAGAGCAATGTCAGATTGGGGGGCTGCATTTTTAGCCTACCAAGTAAACTGAGATTACTTTTGATTTTAATTAAAAATCCTACTGGGATTTTTTACTTTATAGATTCATCTGAGAATTGATATCTATATAACTTGAGTCTTCCTACCCAGAAACATAGTATCTCTTCATTTTTTAATAAAATATTACAGATTTCTTGGCAAAGAAAATTAAACCTCATTTTTGGCAAACCTTATACCAGGCACATCATAGTTCTTGTTGCTGCTGTGAATGGGATTTTCTTTCTTTTACTTCCTATATGTTATATTGTAATACTGTATAGAGGCTACAAACTCCTTTTCTTATAACTTCAAACTTTATCCTTGAATTGCAGGTGTACACTGGGGCTATGAGGAGACCAAGACTTTTCTTGATATTCTCCATGAGACTCGGTTTTATGAAGCACTTCAGTCTTGTCATAGGAAAAGCAAATTATATGGGGCTGTGGCTGAACAGCTGCGGGAATGTGGGTTCCTTCGGACACCAGAACAGTGCAGGACCAAGTTCAAAAGCCTTCAGAAAAGCTACCGCAAAGTGAAAAATGGCCACGTGTTAGAGTCCTGTGCTTTCTACAAGGAAATGGATGCCCTAATAAACTCTCAGGCATCTATCCCCTCTACCAACACCCCAGAAGAAGTCCCACCACCCTCAAGGCAAGAAAGAGAGGATATTGAGGTTGAACCCCAGGAACCTACAGATTGGGAACCTGAGGAGACCTCACAAGAGGCAATAGTAGAGGATTCTGTCAGCGAGAGAATGAGTGAGGAGGATATTGTACAAGAGTCAGAATTCCAAGGACCTCCAGGTCTACTGCAAAGCCCCAGTGGTAAGGATTATCAAGGGGTTGTAGTATAAAAGAAAGTAAATGTGATTTAGTGAAAAATTACTAGATCTTGCCTGTCATTCAGAAGTATTTATTCATTAAGCAAATATTTGAGTGCCCTGTGCTGTTTGAAGGACAGGGGATATAGCAATGAATAAAACAGACTCTGCTCCTGATGCTTCTATTCAGCGAAGGAGCTTACGTTCTAGTGATTCAGTCCTTGGGATCTCAGCCTCAGTGTTCTCTGTATGGGTCAAGGAGTGTTTTATATCTCCTGAAAATACTATGGGGAAGAAGTTTAGGAATCATACATAAGAAAACACTCAGATAAAGGAAGTGTATCACTAGCCCAAAACAGAAATATCTCAGTGATGTGTGATGTGCATGAGGAAAGAAAACACAGGCAGAGATCAAATGGGAGAGAGAGGCTTTATCCTGATTCTCGGCTCCACCTGCATATTTTTTGTTTTTAGTTTTCTGAACATTTTTTTAAAATGTTTGTATTTAATTATTTTTCAAGTACAGTTTTCTATCTTTTATTCCCATCCCAGCCCATCCCCCCATGCTGTCCACCTCCCTCCCATTTCCACCCCCCTTAGTTGTTGTCCATGTGTCCTTTATACTAGTTCCTGTAAATCCTTCCCCTTTTCCCCCTGAAATTCCCTCCCCTCTCCCCTCTGGTCACTATCCCCCTGTTCTCTATTTCAGTGTCATTGTTTTTATTTTGCTTGCTTGTTTGTTTTTTTGTTTAGCTTCCTGTTAAAGGTGAGATCATATGGTATTTGTCTTTCAATGCCTGGCTTATTTCACTCAGCATAATGCTTTCCAGTTCCATCCATGCTGTTGCAAAGGGTAGGAGCTCCTTCTTTCTTTCTGCTGCATAGAATTCCATTGTGTATATGTACCACAATTTTTTGATCCATTCATTTACTGACAGATACCTAGGTTGCTTCCAGCTCTTGGCTACTGTAAATTGTGCTGCTGTGAACATTGGGGTGCGTAGGTTCTTTTGGATTGGTGTTTTAGGGTTCTTAGGATATAATCCCAGCAGAGGAATTGCTGGGTCAAAAGGCAGGTCAATTTTTAGTTTTCTGAGAAAATTCTATACTGTTTTCCATAATGGTTGTACCAGTCTGCAATCCCACCAACAGTGAACTAGGGACCCCTTTTCCCCACAACCTCTCCAACATTTGTTGTTTGTTGCTTTGTTTATGATAGCCATCCTGACTGGTGTAAAGTGGTATCTCATTGTGGTTTTAATTTGCATCTCTCTGATAGCTAACGATATTTGAGCTCTCTTCATGTGTCTCTGGGTCTTCTGTATGTCCTCCTTGGAGAAGTGTCTGTTCAAGTCCTGCATATTTCCCACTGACTGCTGGAAACCCTTTTGGACATCTCATCAGGCTTAAAATTTTCAAAACTAAAATCACCATCTTCCTTCCCATACTATGGCTCTTTCCTGTGTCCTCCTACAGGCCATCCAGACTGAAAACTTTAGAGATATTTTTGATGCCTTCTCTCTCATTATTTACACCCAGGCAGTAACACTTTTTTTCCCCAACTATTGTAGAATTTTTATCTGTCCCTTATCCTACTCCATACCCTAGTACAGTCTTTTTATCTATTGCCTAAACTATTGTAAAGGTCTCCAAACCAGTTTTCTACATCAGTCTTGTATTAACATTCCACAGTCATCCTTCATCTGAGCTGTTATCTTTCCATCCTTACCCACTATTGTTTCCCTTCCAAAACACTGTGCTCATTCAAAATAAACATTAGAGGAGGAAATTCCTACACATGCTGTCTGGTAGTATTTATGTGGGAAATTGTAGTATGAAGGCTGAAATTGTAAGTTCTACATAACCCTGGTTTTGATAACTAGAAAGAAAATCCTGTGGCATCATCTCCTGTGAATTTTTTTTAAGTTGAACTTCAGATCTTCATCAAATTATCAGGCTCTGTGTGAGCCAACTACCAGGCTGTGACTTCTTCCAGACCTGAAAGTAATGTTAGATTCAATCAGAACACTTTAAAAGACCTGCTAAATGAACTATGACATTATCAGGGCTTTTTACTTAAGTTAGTGGATTAATTGATGCTTTCTGCCTCCCCACAGCCCATGCCACAGCTGCCCTATTTGAGACAGAGGGCTGTCAGCAGTTTCAATTATGTGGAAGGAAAGTAATGTTGAAACTAGCAAATAGAAGTGAGGCAGGATATCAAAATGCTTATGAACAAGCATTTGATAATCAACCAAGCCTGGGTTGGGCCTAAATTAACACAGCTTATGAACTATTTATGGATGAAATAATAAAATGCCTGGAATTTGCTTCAAAATAATCTGGGTGTAGAGGGAACAGGGAGTGTGTAGGAATAGACATGAAGCAAGATTGGCAGTGAGAGACCATTGTTAAAGCTGGTGAGTGGTTCATGGAAGTTCATTGTGCATACAATTCTCTACCTTTCTGTATGTCTGAATTTTTCATAGTAAAATGTTAACACAAAACTACATAATTAAATGGCTGGGACAGACTCAGAACCAGAGCTGATTCCAATAATCGTGTTCTCCAGAAAACTTCTTGGAAAAGCTGGGGTCCAAGATGTACTTTGTAGTGAACATGGGCTGTAGGTGAAAGAATGAGGAGAAGATCATTTTACTATAGGAAAGAGAACTAAGGTTGAATTAGTGTGGCCTGTGTGTAACAACCACCAGAAAAACAAATTAACGGGAACAGTCGAGAAGAAAGAAGTACTCTTTGGTAGGATATGATTAGATATTGATGAACTTTAAAGTTCATTGAGGAATTGGAACTTTATCACTAGAATCTACTCTAAACACTAATGTATGTTAGTGTATTTTAGGATAGAACAAATTTTGAAAGCAGGATGAATTAGAGTGGAAATTCAGGGAGATAAACCAAGTTAATCAGGATATGGATGAGGAATAATGGCTTGGATTACAATTCAATTCAGAGGACATTTCCTGAGACATTTGAACTTGGTGTTGTTATTGGATGTCCTTGGAACTGAATGAAAATAAGGCATAATGAATCAGGGAGGAGTAACAGGACCCAAAGCCAGTTAAGGGTACAGGGATCCTAACATATGAAGCCATGAAGGCCATGTTTATGTTAATACAGGCCTGCTCTGAAATTTTTATTATCTTTTTTTCAGATTTTGAAATTGGAGGTAGTATCAAGGAGGATGCAACACAGGTAATATTTAAAGATATGGAGCAGCACAGGGCATTAATACAAAAGTCTAAAAGAGTTGTTTCCCAGAATACTGATCCAGGTAAATATTGTAAAAAGGAACGCATCTCAGGAAAATGGGAAAACCATCAAGAAATTAGACAGGGAAAGCTGATGTCTCAGCCTAGAGATTTAGGGAAAGTTGTAATGCATCAGAGGCCTTTCATGGGAAAGAGATCCTACAGACTTCTCAAGTATGGAGAAAGCTTTGGAAGGAGCACTCGTCTTCTGTGCCGGATAACCCACCAAAAGGAAAATTCTTATAAGTGTAGTGTCTGTGGGAAGTGCTTTGGTAGAAGCAGGAGCCTAATCAGACACCAAAGAATCCACACAGGAGAAAAACCTTTTAAATGTTTTGACTGTGGGAAAAGCTTTAATGACTCTTCAAACTTTGGTGCCCACCAGAGAGTCCACACTGGGGAGAAGCCCTACAGCTGTGAAGAGTGTGGAAAGTGCTTTAGTCAGAGCTCAAGTCTCATCATACATCAGAGAACCCACACAGGTGAGAAACCCTATCAGTGTGGAGAGTGTGGGAAAAGCTTCACCAACAGTTCTCATTTCAGTGCCCACTGCAGGGTCCACACTAGTGAGAATCCCTACAAATGCATGGATTGTGAAAAAAGTTTCAATAACTATACACAATTTCGAGAGCATCGGAGAGTACACTCTGGAGAGAAGCCCTATGGATCTGCCCACTGCAGCAAACATTTCAGTAAGAGTTCTGTTCTGACCAAACATTGGGAGGTCCATGTGAAAGAAAAGGTGCCACATCCTCCATCCGTGTATTTCCCAGAGAACCCACATAAGGGAAGGATTGATGACTTCAGGAAGACTTTTTGATAATGATCTCTTCTTCTCTTCCTCAATGCCCTTTAGCCATCCTCCCCTGATCTCATTCCTGGGATCTTTTGTTAGCTATAAAGTGTAATCCCCAAGATAAGCTTGAGAATATAAATAAAGACTTGGATCCAGTTCTTACCTCTGCCTCTAACTTGACCAGTCCAGTCTTCTTTTATGTGTCTCAGCATCTCCTTTAATAAAATGGAGAACATATATTGTCTGAGTTCAGAATGAAACTCTCTTCAATATGTCAAGTCTACTGCTATGGGATCACTACAACCAGCAACATCTAAGATGCTTCTGTGTAGGTGAGATTTGTTTTCAAGGAGATGAAAAATGCTTAAAGGTTTGTTGGTGTTGTTGCTTTATTATCTGCCACATGAGATCCTGGATGCAGCTTGACCACAGAGTTGCATGTTTGGGTAGAGCTTTCAGAAGTCTGGTCAGCACTATATCAAGTCCATTTTCATTTTGAAGATATCAAAAGGAGACTGAAAATTTTGTAGCTTCCATCAGAAATCCATTGCAGTGTACCTTTTTTGTGTCAAGAACTTGATCCAGAAAGTTAGGGTAGAATCCCTGTGTTGTCCCTGAATTAGTAATGCTTTGACCTCCACTGAGATGAGAAGCAATTGATTACTCATAATCCTCTGTATACCAACTGTTTCTTTCCCTGAAGACTGAATCTCCTTAGCTTCTGCTTTCCAGCCTGTAAGAATCTAGTTCCTGTTATCATTTCTTGTATGTCCTGCACTTACCTCTTTATGTTTTGGGTGCTCTTGTCTGTCTCTTCTGAGCTCTCACACCCTCCTCAGATTAGGCTGCATGCTCATGGTGTGTCTCATTAAGGTAAAGTAGTATTTCAGACACATTCTAGCTGTCCCCTGTAACTTTTCCAGTTCTTACCTAGAACATGATGTATGTTGGCATATTTAAGCCTCCCAACCTCACACTTTAATATTATGTAATCATAGCTTTCTAAAACTTAAAAGGGGTAGAAAGAAGTAGAGACCTGAAATATTTCTAAGACCAGTCGGACTCCTTAGGCCTGCTAAGGTTGGATAGCCACCTTACTCTAGACCAAAACCTCTAAGGTTGTTTGTCAAACATTCTCTTTTTTGAGTTCTACATCCTATTCATAGGATCATGACCCACACTGTAAGCCCTGAGTAATTTGTACAACTCTATAGCTCATTAAGTGAAAGCAGAAATATTTACAGAAACTTCCAATTTAGAACATGTGTTTTCTTCATTCACCTGTTTGTCTGAAAAATCTTTTTGATAACCCCCTAGCACTAGCCCAATAAATAGTGAAGGAAGTGTTCAGATGGATGGATAATTCTTTCATTTCTGAAAGTTACAGATGAAACCCAGGAATTTGGTCATCTAAGACTAGTTGCTTTAGGCAGTAAAAAGTCATAGTTTGGTGAAAAGATAGCCAGAGTTGGATATATTTTTATCTTATCTCCTTTCTTTTACCATATCCTCTCTTATTTGAACATATGTGGAGATAATATTTTTCCTTTGACTATGTTTTAATTTGTTAAAATTTGTTCAGCAGAGTACCAAGAAATGTAGGCAGTTACAGTACCAGCATAGGGTATGGCCTTTTGGAAGGCAGGTGACTCAGGTAAATGTTGATAAATGTTCTGATTTACACTTGTTGAAAATGTTATGCTTGTTCACATCTGAATAGATTGATTTCCTCTGTGTTCTCCAAATCATAGACTTTTAATGGTAAGTGCAACTCTGTGTTAGTAGTATGCCTAGCACAGTAAGATGTGTTAGTGCCAGTGGGAGTATGTTTATATTGTATAGATGTTCTGGAATTCCAGCTCTAGAGAAGGTGAACATTAATAGAAGTAACCACTTAGTAATACACACACAGGATTGATAATTATATCAACTTGTACATGATTCAGGAAAGGTGATTGTTCATAAATATTTATTAAGCACTATTATGTGTTAAGGCCATGTTCTAGGCACAGTGAGAGATGCAAAAGTGAAAATGGAGGCATGGTACCTGTACTCAAGGAACTTGAACTATAAGAGGAATTATTATAGCAAAAGTTAATACCAATTAATGCATGTAAGTTACAAAAGTCAATGATTCAATCATGAGAAAACACCTTTACTTGCAAAAGAGTTTTTTTTCTAACTTGACTAAAATCATATTCTTTACTTTGTCTTTCAGACTTCCCTAGTAGCAGGGAAGGTTCAAACCCAATCCATCTCCAGTGGGACAAGCTGATTCTGGTTTAGTCTCCTATGTTTGGGATCAAGCTAAGTAGGAATTTGGGTTCCCCTACTGATATTCATTATTGTAACTAGGCTGCTGAGACATGTGTTAACTCATTGAAGTTTGTTTCTTCTTTCTGAGGAGACAGAAGGTTCTGCCCACATTAGACAGACTCCTTGCATTTTATCCTTTTTCAGCTGGAACATGAAAGTCCAAACAAATGATGTCTTTTATATCACATAGCACTGCCTTTATGACAATCCATAGGAAAAGTCTTTTTGTTGTTGTTGTTGTGTTTTGTTTTATTTTTAAGAGCTCAGTACCAGGGGAAGCAGCTCTGATCCTAAGTGGGGAAAAAAAAAAATTAAACACTGTGATTTTTATAACTTACTGTTCTTCTCTTTGGTTCTTGCTGCTGCAAAGTTCAACAAAATTTACAACCTACCTTACCAGCTACCTAAAATCTATATTTATTTAATCCTGTCTTATTTCTTTCAAAATTGTCTGAAATCCTATTTTTAATGTTACTAATAAACAGTTATTTTATTTTCTGACACTTTACCCAAGGCACTTTGGAAACTAGCTTGTATTCCCTGCCAAGGCTTGCTTGTTACTCTCACAAATGCCTCCAATTCTTTACTGGTAACTTTATTACACATACAACCTAATTTATTCATAGGGAAGGAAACCTTACTTTAAAAAGGAAAACTTCACACATACGCTAACACAGCTCAAGGCTGCCTGCTGTGGTGAAGTGAGCATTGGACTAGAAGCCAAAAAAGACAAGTTTTAGTCTTGTTACTGCCACTTACTGACTCGTTCAACAGGTCATATCCTCTCTCTGGGACTTAGCTCCTTATCAGAAAAGAGGTTGAATCTGATTTCCAAGACTAATTAGAACCCTGGCTCTAATGTTCTGTGAGGCTGTGGAGCATGGTATGGATGAGGAAGAGTTTTTAAGACCAAGCTACCTAGCCTGGCTCAACATTGCATGTAGTGTACCCACCACACTGAGCCTATTTACTACTTTAGGCAGAGGGATGCTGTGCATAGTCCAAGAGCTTAGTCAGTAAAGAAGGAAAATATCCCTCATGTCCTGCAGGCACCTCTGACTCACTCACTTTAGTGGCCAGTTGCAGATAGCTAGCTCAGTAAAGAAAGCCTATTTTGTGAGGTCTGGTGCCCAGTGATGGACAAGACTCAACTGTGAGGAAGCTGGGGAAGCCCCAGCACAAATAGTGTCCAAGTGACTGGTGTGGCTGCAAGCCTTTACCTCAGTCTGAATGTATTCCAAGTATGTGTCTCTCTATTCATTGTTTTTGTATTGATGTTCACTTAGATGTATCTTCTTGAAAACATATGTGAAATAAATGTCTGCAATAAATGACTCCCTTTGGTTTCCTCCATAATTCGAAGGATATCCTTTATTAAGGGAAAAGAGAACTTGTCTAAGAAGTAATAAAGCTGATCCTAGTAGCTAGAGAATTTCAGTCTTGTTCCAGTTCACTGCTCTGCCCCACAACTAGCGGAATCTTTTGTGAATCCACAGCTATTCCTGTGCAGCTATCCTCCTATAGTGGCCATTGCCATTGTTCCAAATAATGGTTGGCTCTAATTCTAGAGTGGGATTAGCCTTGGGTTCACACCTTCCTTGTATCTAGGGGACGCATTCACCCCACAGCCTTTTATGGTGGAACTAGACCCCACAATTTCACCCCAAAGATAGTATTCTTCACTTACTATTTTGATATAAAGAATTCCACTTGCTTCCACTTAGTCTTTTTTCCAGAACAATTCCAACTCCATGGGTCCTAGAGTTGATGTAGAAATTTTGCTACTTGCTGAGCATGTATTTCCACTATACACATGAACTATAGGAAGAACCACAGGTTGGGTCACCTAAGCAAGAGCTAGATTCCAGACAAAGTGCATCTCTCGCCTGGACTTTATAAGCTTCTACTCTGCAGCCAACTGCAGTAGTACCCAAAGTTCTCAAGAATTGTAGCTGTTCAGACAGTATCTGAGAGCCCCTGTAAGTTTCCTGTATTTTCACTGAGTAAACAGCCATCACCTTTTGGGGAAAAGCTATAATAAAGGCTCTTAACATGTATGATGTCCTGAGTTCTCCCACAAGATTATTGACCTTCCTGTATTAGAGATTGAGGTCTGTGAACTGACTCAGGCTGGGATTTAGATGAGAGGCTAAATCCCTGAGGGCCAAAAATCTTCAATTCCTATACACCAGTTAAAAAATTAAGGGAGGAGAATGAATGCTTTTGTGTTCCAAGCAGTTAAATGAACATGACTAGTCACAACCTCCAAACTCCATGATGAGTGGGACTAGAAGGGGAAATGGCTTTGGGTTCCAAGAGAGGCCAATGTCTAAACCCACCCTGAGGTGGTAGGACTCTGAAGGAGAATGGCAATGTGGGGTAGAGGGATGAGGGAGGAGGCAAGGCCTGAAAGACCTCAGCCTTAATGGTTGCTTGGATACACCACAGAGTGGAGAGCATGCAGGTGTGCTTGGTATGGAAGCTGTGGAACTGTCAGTAAAGGACTCCTCCTTCAAGAAACCCCTGTAGCCTGGTCAAGTGCAATTTAGCAATAGCACACACATCTGAGGACCACTCCAATGGCAGCACCATGAGGCAGAGGCAAATGGCAGCATATAGGGCACAAAGTAAAAAGTTACATGAGAGTAAAAGATTGGTATGTTTCTCTTTTTGGATTGTGTAAGCTCTCAGAGTTCCTGGAAGATCTGGTGAGGGAGAGGTACAAGAGTTTTACACCAGGTTTCCCAACATCATGGCATGTGAAGACTCAAGCTAATTGTGGCAATAGGGAAGAAGTCAGTACTTTTACCCCAAAGGTCTATAGCAGGACATGCCTGTTGCAATAGGAAGAACACTAGACTGTCCAAAATCCTGGCCCAGCTCTGCCATTAGATCACTCTGTGATTATAGTCAAATTATTCAACCTTTCTTGTTTTTGGGGTTGGACAGCATGAGTGCTTCCCAAGCTTTGCCCATCAAGAGGTCCACAGAGCCTTATGGGGGTAGCTGATTGAGAAAATACATTTGTACAAAGTGCACTTAGAAACTCTACCCTCTTGCCCTGATTCTGATTCCTGCAAGTTGCAGAACCATTGATTAGATTATAGTAACAATAAATATAAGAACTGATACATAGTCCACTCACAATGTACTATACATGTGCATGCTTTATAAACATTATTTAATTCACAAACATTCTGGGGCAACATTCCCATTTTACAGACAAGGAAACTGAGGCTGAGAGGAGTTATTAATACATAGTCTCTCAAGTTTATACAGCAAAAGAGTGAATGTTCTGAGCTTTAAATTTGTATTTCTCAGAATCTAAACTCATAGCAACTGCATTTTACTGCTGCTATAGAGTTTCCAGCTCTTAACAATTTAAAATTCCACAGAATCCCTTGTTCTTGAAAAGATGGGAGGTGGGATGGAGGTGAACTTAGGAGATATGGGTCAATTCTGGATTCTACTCTGTAGGGTCACAATGAATTTGGGTTTCACTGTGACCAGCCTGTGCATTCTTTCAGTCGACGAGTACTTAATCCCTTCAATGTAGGAAGCACTAAGATAAATGTAGTCACAAAGATGAATTAGCATTGATCTTCCTCATGAGAGCTCATGGTCTAGAACTTGACAGGAAGACCAGGACTTCAAATCCAACTGGGAGCTAGGAGTAAAAGGAGTTATGATGCATGTCCGTCTGTTTTTTCTTAATGGGGACAAATAGGCAATTAGAAGACAAGGCAAGGAACATACTGTCCCTTATTCAGAAACAGTAAAGTATGATGACAAAGGTCCTGGATCTGCAGTCAAACTTACCTGATCTTAAATTTTAGCTCCTTTGGGCCAGATGGAGGCATTTTTGCTGCAGGTCACATTGAGTTGCAAGCAGTGTTAGGGCATCTTTAGGAGTCAAAAACATGGCAGAAGACTTCAAGACCAAAACCAAGAACTATAAGACTACCCTTTTGACACCTGCTTCCCCAACCAGAACCAGACCTTAAGTTATTGGCAGAACTACCCAGAATTCCACTGCTGTGATAAGGCAATGACTGCTAAAGGGAGCGATGTCTCCATGTGCGAATGGTACCCGCATGTGTGCAAGTCCCTTTGCCCAATATCCTGGGTTTCAGCCTGCAATGACCACTGGGAAGAAAGCACATTTCCTAGGAAAATCTAAACTGGGTATATCCCACCTGTCCTCTGTTCTCATCCTTCTCCCAGGGAGGCAAAGGGGCATCTGGGTACATCCTACCCTAGAATCTTGAATTATGGCTTAACTACTAATAAATACTTGTTGGAAAGTGTGAAAAAAATTAGCTCCTTCTACTTGTGGATTTTAGATGATGTCATCTCTTGGAACCTCCATTTGCTCCTCTGGAAAATGGGAAGAATAAGAGTTACCTACCTGTATTAGTTTCCTGAGGCCACCTTAACAATACCACAAACTTGGTAAAAAAACAGCAGAAATTTAGTATCTTACAGTTCTGGAGGTCCAAAGTCTGAAATCCAGGTGTCAGCAGGGCCATGCTCCCTCCAAAGGACATTGGGGCAAATCCTTCCTTGCCCCTTGTAGCTCTTGGTGTCTCCTAGTGCTGTCACGTAGCCACCACCCTTCTCCATGTGGCTGCTTCTCTGTATCACTGTGTGTCCTTTTTGTCTCTTATAAGGACACTCATTGGATTTAGGGCCCACCCTAACCCAGTCTGATCTCACCTTAATTGACCCTTCCTTAATTATGTCCACAAAGATCTTATTTCCAAACAAGGTCACATTTTTATGTTCCAAATGGACATGAATTTGGGGGGACACTATTCAACCTAAATAGTAGGACACTACCCTACCTTATAGACTGTTGTGGGGAGGAAATGATATAATGCATGGAAAGAATTCTGCACAGTGCTGGGCATGTAAACACAATAAATGTTAGCTGTATACATGTATGTATATGTAACTATTCTGTTACTAGTTTACCAAAGGCTTATTTCATTATTTATTTCACCAAAAGAAATGGCACCTTTCAATATTCTTTGCTCTTTGTGAACATCCTAATGTTGTTGTTTCTGGTATTATCATATTATTTCCTCCATTTTTCTTTTTTAAGAGGTTTGTGGTTGTTATTTATATTTGTCTTTCTCTTTTTCTCTAAAATTGTCCTGGATGTTTGGGTACATAGTATCCATTTCTCAGTAGACAGTCTCTTATTATATTGGTGATTTTGCTCCAGTGAACATTTTATTTTTTCTCAGGTGAGTATTTTGATCATCTTGTAGAACTGGGTGAGCTTTTTGTTTGTTGTTGAGAATGGTCATCTTCCATAAATGATGCATAGATTCTTACAAAGATACATCCTCTACTTATAAGGGGTGACGTTCAGAATGTGTCTTTTTATCCTTTTTTGTTCTTTCTTATCATTTTACTCACATCTTCCATCCAAATGCCACTGTCCTTCCAGGGGGACACTTGTATTATGCCATATTATCTATTTCTTCAGGAAATCTTTGCAGATCCAGCCCACCCCACACCCACAACTCATCCCCAGGTGGAGTGCAGTGAGTGGGCCAATCCACGTCCTAAACCAGACCCGGAGACTGAAGTGGGCTTTTCAGCAGGGTCCTGAGATCTGTGATCTGGAATTGATTCTTACTAACATCCAAACTGGATTCTAGATTGGTCTCTGAGCTCCAGACAAAGTTCCAATGGGTCTGGCTACATGGGAGACAGATTGGGTTGGCCTGCACCCTAAATACTTATACTAAGCTGGACTCAAGCCTTAACTAGACTCTTGATAAACAAGACCAAACCTGGACTTTTCTTCTCCCCAGCAGTGCCCATTTCTGAAATGAAAGGCAAGTGAATGGGCATGTGAAAAGAAATATGGGACTATTTATTACAAAGCTAGATTGGAAGCTCAGGATGCAAGGAAATAGAACACAGAAGGCCTTTCTGTAACAGAGGACTCAGGGCACAAGAGGACCAAATAAGGGGATGGGGAATTGAACTGCTATATATAGAGAGCCCCCTTTTCCAGTTGCTTCTCTACTCCTGGGACTGTGTTTCTGATACATGCTAGCTACACGTTCCCCAGGCTGAGGGCTCTGATGAGCACAGGGGAATTCCCAGAACCTACAGCACTCTCAGGACCTAGTAGCAGTCTGTCCATCTGAGAAGCCAGGCCTCACTCTGGGGAAGAAGTCAGTTGCTCCTCTGGGTTTGTGCAACAATAGGAAATGCAGCTGCCCTGTAGGCAGACCAGGATGGGTCTGCTGAGGGCACCAGGGCAGCGGGAAGTCCACCATCTCAGCTTACCATCCCCTTAGGATGAGGTGAGTTTTCCCATCTCCAATAAAGAACCTACAAAAACAACAGCCCAGTGAGGTCCCTGAGCCCCTGAGAGTCACTGAGCTCTTCATCAACATCTCTGGGCCCAGAGTTTGCCAGAGAGATGCCTTCCTGAGCCTTCCCAGCCTCAATCATTGGATCCCCTTGGGGAGAGGGAGAAACCCTTTTCTGTTTGGTGTCTAGCCCTTTTCCTGAAGATGCTCATCCCTGCTATTCTGAAAGCAGCAGAAAGAATAATGAGTGGTACTTCTCACTAATCCATAAGCTCAGCCAACACTGCCAAGTGGTGGTGATTCTAGATCAGCCCAGCCCAGTAACTGTCCTCTCCCAAGACAGCAGGAGGTAGACTCAACTTGTGTCAAATCTAGACCCTATCCCTGCACAACCTGGAGCAGAAAGAACAGGACCCTGCAGATACTGGAGGCTCCCAAGAAGAGAGCCCAAGGAGAAGCAGTCAAGCAGATATTATCCCTCTGGTAACATCACCTTATTATCCATTGCAGAAATCTACAAAGCACTGTCCACAATGTATTTTATGTAAACAACATCCCTGATATGCATGCTCAAGGGGGCACTGTATTCATAGTTTTCTGTATGAGTAGGGCCCCCAGAGTTGGACAACATCCTTACTCCTGGACCATGCCCCAAGTCCAGGATTAGGCTCATGGTTCAAATGTAGCCAGTAGGAGTGCCTGACCCCATGGCTACAGTGACTGACTGACAGGTAGGTATGACCTAGCCGGGCTAGTCCAAACAGCGAACATCAGACCCAAGACCAGCTACAGCTGTTGCTCTATTTCCTCTGCACCCGGTAAGCATCTCTGCCTCTATTGGGGAGCCTGTCTAAGCATGAAGCCAACAGAGAGGACAGAGTCTATGAGAAAGGCTGAGTCCTGAGACATTGTTTGGGCACCTACCTGAAACCAGTGCTACCTGTGTATTTTTCAATTATGTAAGCCAGTGAATTCTCCTGTATGACATAAGTTGTGTTGAGATGGATTTCTGTCACTTGCGATCAAAGCTTCCAGAGTCATAGCATTTGCCTCTGAAGAAGGCTCCCTCTTCTCTTCTACAAACCCAAGTGAGATCCTAGTCTTTTAGCCCTGGACACCATGGAAACTATCACCAGGTAGCCATCAGATAGTAACCCTGTGTCACATTCCTACCTGATGAACACTCCCACGAGCAGGCTGGCCAAGAATGGGCCCAGCCAGTAGATCCAGTGGAAGTCCCAGTGGTTGGCCACCACAGCAAGTCCAAAGGCATGGGCAGGATTCATGTAGGCTCCAGATACAAAACCTCTGCAAACACCCAGCCACATGTCACCAGGAATTCCAGCCAGGCCCCAACTCACTTCAGGTTCCTTTCCCCAACTAGGCCTAGGTCACGCACCTTCTCAAAACCCTCCTTAACGTAGGGTTCTGGAAGCTTCTAAAGAAGACACAGGTAAAGAGGCTATCAGCACTGGGCTTACAGTCTTCCACTCTGCACATGCCTTCTAGAAGAATTTCCAGAAGGAGTGCCTGCTCAGGGATGGCAGGAAGAGAAAAAAGGAAGATTTTCCCTCCAAAGTTGATAAAGCAAAGTCAAGCAGTTGTCAAAAATGTGAACTTTGGACTCAAGTGGACCTAGATTCAAGACCCAAACCAGCCGTTTTCTTACTGTGTGACCTTTGTCTAACCTGCCTGTATTTCAGTTGAGGTGAAAGTTTCTATCTCATGGATTGTCAGTGAGAAAACACATATATAGCCCATATCTCACATATAATGCATATACAGGTGTTAAGTCTAGTTGTCCTAGCACCTCCTACAGGGGGACTGTGGCCCAGGTGCACCTCTCTACTTCTGTTGTCTAAATCTTTGTCCCATTCACTCAAGCTGGGGTTCTGCAGACTTGGCCCCTCACTGGCCTCTGCGTCCAGTAGCCATGGGAGAATAGGCATGCAAGTAAAACAATAGTCACTAGGGGGAAGCAAAGCATCACCACAGCTTTCCACACAGGTTCAGCTGATCCTCCCAGGCTTCTCTTTCCCAGTCCCAAGAATGAAATGGGGCTGGAGGGCAGAGCCAGGAAGAAACTGTATCAAAGAGAAAAGAAAGAGCTGGACATTAGGGAGGGGCTCTCTCATCCTCTCTAGCCAGAGATTTGGGCTCTGGTCTCGCATCCGTCACTTAATTTGCTGCTGCCCAGTAACCTTCAATAAGTTACTTCTGTTCTCTCTGAACCTGTTTCCACTTACATAAAATGAAAGAAATAACACCTCACCCAACCTAATCTCCTTAATCCCATCCCAAACATACTAAGGAGCTCAACATGGACAAACAAATCCTGCAGAAATGTTTTACTGATACTACAAAAATAATTTCACATAAAAATCCAGCTTTCTGACTTTCTTGGAATGAAATTAGAAGGTTCCCTCCAGGCCCACACTCCTACATAGCAATACATTCCCAGAGGTGAATAGTGGTACCTCCAAAGATACCACAGTCCTCATCACTCCCTATTGTCTGCCTAATGCCAGCCCACTTCCCCAATTTGTATTACCTTCCTGGCCCCCATTGGCACTCAGTCTGTGTCCCTCAAGTAAGCTCTGCAGACCCCACCTCCAGAGCCAAGGCTGGGCCCAGGGCCAGGGACTCCAGTCCCATAGCCAAGAGGCACTCACTCTGTCAAAATATCCACAGTGATGGAGAAGCCAATGGACAATGGGGCCAGAGGGCCCCGTATTTTCTTGTTGATGGTGCCCATGCAGACAGCCAATGCCAGCAGTACGGTCAGGACAATCTCTGCCAACACTGCCCTTGCCACCTGCCCTGGCTCCTGAACAAAGGCTGCCCCAGATGCATTCCAGAACCTCTCCTCTGGACTCACCACCTGCAGAGAGAAGCCACTCAGCCCCACAGTGGGGGTGAAGAGATGGCCAGCAGCTGAGGAGAGGAGCCTACAAAAACATATCCTGACCATTAGTGATCCCACTCCACTAGTTTTTGCCATATGGCAATGTGTGAGCTATTGAACTTCTCTAAGCCTCACTTTGTTCACCTGTAAATGGGGGTGACCAGTGGTGGCTCCAGTAGGTCTCAAACTTACATAACTTAGATGAACCTCTTTCAGAAAGACAATACAAAAATACCGTATTTTTACAAATTTTACAAACACACATGCCCAGGTCGACACATTGCTAACCCATATAAGGTCCCTTCAAAGGGGCAAGTGGAGCCTTGAGGCTTAAGCTCCATTGGTTTCAGAGAAATCAGCCTCAGGGGTCACTGCAGCTCCTGGAGAGAGAAGACAGCAGAGCAGACAAGGTTCTGGATCCTAAACCCAAATCTGGCTCTGCTGCTCAGCAGCTCATCTGAACTTGGACTAGTTACTGACTTCTCTGTGCCTTCATTTCCTCTTCTATAAAATGGGGATAATAATAGCTCTGTCCCCGGGGACTGAGCGTCCTCTAAGGACTTGTGAAGTTGTTGGGAAATGAAATAAGAGAAGATATGTAGAGTGCTTGGCAGGGGAGGGTGTGTTCAGTGAGTGGCAACTACTGCTTTGTACCAGTCACTGTCAGGTTTGACAAGTTTGCAAGTGGCCCAGCCATAGGCAGTCTGAAAACTGCTTTTCACCAAGGATCAGAGCAGAAAGGTACAGGCAGAGAACAGGGTTTTGAGTGGGGGCGTTGGGAGACCAGGCTAGGGAAGCCAGCATAATGGACCTTGAAACCAAGGTTTACAATGGGCCTGAGCTTAGAGCCACAGGCCCAGCCAGGCTAACAGGGCGGCCCCTCCCCCACCCTACTCTCCTCACTCACTACCAAGCAAAACCTGCATCTTGAGAGTCCTTGTTAGACTGACGCTTCAGGGCAGCAAGCAAGAAAGAAAGAGTGAAAGAGAGAAGAGATGAAGGAAGGAAAGATGGAAGGAGGGAGGGAGGGCATCCACCCATGGAGTTATGTGTAGAGCTCTGAAAATTCTGGCACAAAAAGGAAGAGGTAGATTTCCTGTTGGGATGGGAGGATTCCAAATATAAATTGAATATTAACTCCCTTCAAAGGCAGAGAACTTGGCTTAAAGGGGAGTGGGGGCAAACTGGAGAATACACAGATAAGTAAGTCAGTTCAAGAGTTTTTCAAGAAGAATAATATTTACTTTGTATCCCAGTCAGTGCTTACTGAGACGTTTGTAGAATAAATGAACAAGTGAATGAACAAATGAATGAATGAACATGTGAAAAATATTAGAACTAGCAAATCTACTCCAAAGCCAGAAATGGACTTAGGAAGAAAAACTTCCAGTCCTGAATTCTGCTTCCTGATCTGTCTTGGTCTGTCCAGACATGGAGAGAATAGGTGGGTTTGTAGTGAATCAAAGGCCCTTGGAGTATCCCCCTCCCCAATAGAGAAGGGTCCACCCAATCCCACTGGAAAATACAAGAGAAGTTTGACAGTCCCCCTCCCTGCCCCCAGCAGCCCCATCAGAGCAGAAACCACCAGCCTAGCCCCCACTGGGGGTTACCCACCTTGGCCAGGCTGGCTCCAATCAGCCCTCCACACAGCTGGGAGATCCAGTCAGGAAGGAGAATCCTCAGGTTGAGGCCTCCAATCAGCATGGCCGTTAGGGATGTGGCAGGGTTAAAGTGTCCACCGCTGTCAGCCACAGAAACAGAAGGCCAAGGTTCAGGCTGTGGCCAAGGGATTGCATCCCAATAAGCCACCTAGGCTGGCCTTGCACTAATAGTTAGTCAAGGGCTCAGTCCAAGTGGAAAGAGGCACTAGTGGGGCTAGGGACCTTGGTAGAGCCCAGGAGGGAAGAGCAGCCCAGTTCCTGGATGCTCCAGTGTACCCAGAGGAAGAACACATGGGAAACCATCTCTCATCTACTTCCAGACTCCCTCAGAGACCCCTTCCAGCCCTTCAGAGATGTGGCCACAGGTTAGAATGAGACCCCAGATTCCAAATTAGTAGCCTAAGAGAGGCACCCTGGCTTCCCCTTGTAAGTACCATATTTTGCCATATATAATGTGCTCCCATATATAATGTGTGCCCAAGATTTCGGACCAAACTTTTAAGAAAAAAATCTTGTGTTTTAATTTTTAATTCAACTTTTCATTTATTTATATTAGATATTTGGTTTTTGTGTTATAAAGGAATTTTAGCATTTATTTTTTAACATATTGTGGCATAAAAATTTTATGTAATAATAATTACAAAACACAAGAACAGATACAAGGTATTTCAGGTACTACCCATGTATAATACACATCCTTGTTTTCACCTCAAAAATTTGGGCAAAAAAGTGCACATTACACATGGCAAAATATGGTAACTGGGCCTTGAACAAATGTTCTTGGTTGAACTGCTCAACCAATAAAAATCCTATTTTATTTTTATTGAGGTATAATTGACAAACAACATTTTAGTTTCTGGTGCACAATACAATGATTCAATATTTGTATATATTGCAAAAATGATCAGCACAATAAATCTAGTTCACACTTGTCACCACATACACAGAACTTTTTTCTTGTGATAAGAATTTTTAAGACCTACTTTCTCAGCAACTATCAAGTATGCAGGACAGTATTATTCACCATAGTCACTACAGTAGAACTTACTTATTTTATAACTGGAATTTTTTACCTTGTGACACTCTTCACCCATTTCACCCCCACCCCATGCCTCAGGCAACCACCAATCTGTTCTCTATATCTAAGAGTCTGGGAAACCCCTGTTTTGGGGCTGAATGTGTAATTAGTGTTGAAGATAAAATAGAGAGTAGAACTTCAGGTTGGATATGGCATTGAGAATCAGGAGAGAGGTTAGAAGTTCACAATAGGGTTTGGGATTGGGACCTGGAGTTTGGGATGTGAAGGGAGTAGGTGGGTAGACAAAGTCAAACCTAGGGCCAAAGGGCAGATTTGGGTTGGCTGGCCTCTCCACTGGTCATGGGTAAAGAGCTTTCCTTTCCACCAAGATGCTCAACTATTGAAGACTCAGAGCCATCAGACCCCCACACCCTCCTACCTGTGTCAGCATCCCATTTAGTCTTACTGTCTTCACAGGATGGCCCATTAAATTCCTCTGGTGCATGGAGTGGAATGGATATCCTCATAAAAGGAAAAGTGACCCCAAGATTTTAAGAGCCCACAGTGGATCTGGCCCCAGTGGATACAAGGCATCAAACTAAGACTGAACAGAGGAACTTGGCTCTGGACAAAAGGACTTTGTCCAACATGCTGATGTCTCGGGACAAGCAACCTACCTCATCTGGTCCAAATCTGTGCAGAGGCCCTTGAGTGAGCTTCTTGCATGACTTAGAAGCCCCAGATGTTGCTCAGATGCAGGTGGGGAGAGGGTGGCCAGGTCTGTGTGGCCTCCATTTGGATCTATTACCAAGTTCAGCCTGGGCTCTGCCAAAGCATAGAGATGAAGTAGGGTGGGGGGCCTTCCATGGGAGACTGAAGAATTAAAGCCTCTTTCTCCAGTCATCAGCCTCTCTTCCACCATCTCACCTGGCCCAAACAGTGAGAGAAACTTACTCAGAGCATGGCTCAACCTGAAGAGGGCTAGGCTATCTGGGATACCATACATATTCCCAGGACAAACTAGGTACTCACTAACAATAACACAATCAAGACACTTCGAGTTTATTTATTCCTTATGTGCTCAACAAATGTCCATTCAATATCTACTATGGGCCAGGTGAAGTGTTGAGTGCTTCACATATCTTACCTTGGTTCCACTGAGCAACCTCAAAGTCAGTGGCTGGTGCACAGTGGGTGCTGAATAAATATTTGTTGGATTTACTTATATTCAGCAAACTTACAGTGCACACCTCCTATGTATGAGACATATTTGTGGTACCTTGGTTGAGTAAACAAAAAGAGGAGCAAGCCTAGTCCCTGCTTTAAGCAACATAGATCTGTTTAATTTGTGAACAACAGCATCTCTATGAGGGAGGAGAAAATGATGGTGAGGTAGGTGGGAGTGGAGCCCAGCTCTCCCTGTGCCCAGCTGGAACACCTAGCCAATCTTCAGAGGAACAGAGTGAACAGCCAATGGAATCCCAGCTTATATGAACTTTGGAGGCCAAAAATTGCAGAGGACATTGAAAAACAGGCAGTGAGGGGATTGCACTGGGACAGTAAGGTCCCTGGGATCTGATCAGGAACCAAGGCTGCTGCAGGTCCCTGCCTGGCACCTGCCACAGGATATGGGAAGGAGAGTTAGGTCACCAGCTTTCTCCCCTACCAGAGAAGGGAGGGCAGCCCCATACCAGGAGGGACCTGAATAGTGGAAGTTGCTGAGGGGAATAGAGACAAAGTGGGAGAGACACAGAGGAAGTATACAACTGCTGGGACTGTAGACACCTGCACCAGAGAAACTGAGGTGCCAGGTGACACCTGGAGAGGGGAGGAGTTGGGCTGTGTCAGTCTCCAAACAGTCTCCAAACTGTTTGGAAACTTGGGCTGTGAGAAAAGACATGCGCTTGTTAAGAATAGTGGGCAGCTGCTTTCTAAGGAACTCTTGAGCAGCAGCTGGCTTCCCACAAGTGTGATTTGAGCTGCACGTGCCCAGACACTGAGTGGCTAAGTGGAATCATGCCCAAACTTGTCTCATGCTACACCCAGAGGCTGAATGGCTGAGTGGAACAGCAGGCCGGAGGTTGACTCATGCTGTGCTCCCAGAGACTGAGTGGCTGATTGGAGCCTGCAGCTCAGGGACGGCCTGGGCAGGAGGCTGGACAACTGTGAATATTATGGCCCATACCTGGTCCCCATCCTCTCAAATCCATAGTAAGGGAGAAAAGGGAAGCCCAGCCTTCCTCTTCCTGTGGCATCTAGGAAGACCAGCAGAACTCCCTGAACAGGTTTAAAGTCAGAAGGAGGCTTATTTTTTTCTTTTTTGTTCCTCTCTTTTTTTTCTTTTCTTTTTTCTTCCCCCAAGTGAGACAATAAGACATGGAGTTACAAAGGGTCCAGAGACAGATCCAAAGGTGGAACACAAGGCTAAGCCCCAAAATTGAGAAACTGAGACAAATGTCACTTTGCTAATCCATAGCGCTGGTGTTTTATTGTTTATGTGTATTATTGTTATTTTTTCATTATTTTTAAACTTTTATTTTATTAGTATTTTTTTCAGTTCTCTTCTTTGTGTTTAGTTTTCCTTGTTTTATTTTTGTGTTTAATTGCATTGTTTGTCTAGTTTTCCTTATTCTCTCTTTACTGTATTTTAATTTTCCTTCTTTCACTTCACCTGTGTTCTAATAACACACAACTCTTCATCAGGTACTTAATATTCTGGTTATCTAAATCATATATTTCTTGTCATATTATTGTTCTTCCAGCACTATTACAAATGATTGTTGTTCCATACAATTGTACATACTACACATCAACCATCCTGATTTTAGCCCACTTCATTTATTCCTTATTATTGTTATTATTATTGAGCATTATCATCGTTGTGGTTAACTCTATTTTCTCTCACACTATGCCTACTTTCTATCCTTTAATCTCACTATATCTCATCATCTCACCTTGCACAAGAGTTCTGTTTTCTGGCTTCAGCTCACAATCCTCCTCCCCTCTAACAAGAGTCTTATCTCTCACCTTCCATAAAATGTAGCTAGTTGGTTGAAATATCATTTAATGTTACACTTGTCCAAAGAATCTCCTATTGCTTCTCTACTTGCTGGTACTTTAAATTCCATAAAGTACTCTCCTGCTGTCTTAATCCATTTTGCCTACCCACTGCCACTGATCACATACAAGAATAGGTGGGAGCTGTGAACATCAGTATACCTGCCAGAGAAGAGACACCACCAACAAAGGAACCAATGAAAGGTAAAAACCCAAGTACAACAAGAGAGTTCAAACAAACAGAAGAAAGGGCAAACCTAGAGCATCCAGACAAGGAGATCAAAGAGACCACACCACTGAACCCCACAGAATTTCTACCATAAAAATTCACCCTACAAAGACAGCTAGCAAAGCAAAATATCAGGAAGCACAGAAACAAACAAAAAGAGTCACCTCAAATCTGGAGACAAAAAGAAAAAACATGCAGTCAAAAGAAATGGACTCCCCACAAAAAGAGCTAAATGAAATGAAGGTCACCAAACTATCAGATACAGAATTCAAAATAATGATTAGAAAGATGCTCAAGGAACTCACAGACAACTACATGAAACTGAGGGAGAACTATAACAGCATGAATAAAGAAATAGAAACAAACAAAAATCAGAAAGAAATGAACAATAAAATCTCAGAAATAAAAAACACACTAGAAGGAACTATAAGAAGGCTAGATGAAGCGGAAGATGAATCAGTGAGCTGGAGGACAAGGTAGAAAAAAACACCCAGATACAGTAAGAAAAGGAAAAGAGATTAAGAAAGAATGAACAGGTGGTAAGAGACTGCAAGAAAACTTGAAACATAATCATTTCCATATACTAGGAATACCAGAAGGAAGAGAAGAACAGCAAAGGATAGATAGAAAACCTGTTTGAAAAAGTAATGATGGAAAACTTTCCTAATTTAATGAGAGAAAAGCCATACAAATCCAGGAAACAGAGAGTCTCAATCAAGAGGAACCCAAAGAGGTCCACTTCAAGACACATCATAATTAAAATGGCAAAATTCAAGGACAAAGAGAGAATCTTAAAGGCAGCAAGGGAGAAACATATGGATTGAGCACCTGCCTGTAAATCAAAGGGTCACTGATTCAATTTCCAGTCAGGGCACATGCCTGGGTTGCAGGCCAGGTCCCCAGTGTGGGGCACACGAGAGGCAACCACATATTGATGTTTCTCTCCCTCTCTTTCTCCCTGTATTCCCTTCTCTAAAAATAAATAAAAAAATATTTTTAAAATAATTTTAAACATACTGTATGGTTCCCATATTCTAAATGGAGCGGTTCAAATTTGAAGAGTGACTTGCCGAAAGCCAAAGAGCTTATAGGCTGCAGAGTGAGGATTTGAACTCAGCTAGTCTGACTCCAAACTACACTTTTCCACAGTGCCCCCAGTATTCCGAGTGTATACCCAAAGCTCCCTGCTGATAGCTCAGCTCCTCAGGTTAGCACTGGCTGAATGCATAGCCTGCCCTCATCTGATATTCCCCAGCACCGCAATGATGAGGCCCAGGGCCAGCCTGTGGGTCAGGGCCGGTTGCAGCAGCCCGGTTTCTGGCTTGTTCTTGATGACTGACAGGCACCCAGTGAAGATGAAGAGAGCAGAGCCCAGCAGTTCAACCAGGCAGGGCTGCACACACTGCTCATACCAGGACCCATGTCGCCTATCCTCCACGCTTGGCTCCTTTCCCTAGCCACTGCCAATTCAAGGTCACCCATAGATGCAGTTGCCTGAAGAAGAGGAAAGGGAGAGTGGACTTGGAAGGATGGGCAGCCCAGGAAGAAGCCCTCCACCTGCCAACCTTAAATTAATTCTCAGTAACCTGGAAGGGCCAGGCTGGAGATGAAATGGCAGTGGTGGGCTCATCTCTGTAGACACCAGGGCTAAGGCCACATGGGACAGGTTGTGCCTAAAATGTTTGAGAACCCACCTGCACCAGGACTCTCTCCTGGGCTCTTTTATCTCTGGAGATGGAGTTGCTGATCCCAACACAGGCTCTGCCCTTTAAAAGGGCGCCAAGAAGGCAATAAAACCTGGCCAGGAGGTGGCCCTGAGGCCCAGAGGAAGAAAGATTTTTTTTTTTTTAAATCTCAGCTGGGCAGAGCAACTGGTGGTCAAGGATTGCTGAGCTTACTGCCAACTAGGGGGAAAGGTGCTGGCTTAACTGCATCATCTGGGGAAGCCTCTGGGCCTTCCCCAGCAGAAGAGGGAGGGCCCAGCTCCCTGTGGTCACCATCGGGATCCAAAGGAGACCCTCATGTCCAAAGCAGACATGAGGAGTGCCCCACTGGGTTAGAATCACACATGGAAGGTAACAGCCAACTCATCTTCAGTGGCTTTTCCACCGATTCCCACAGACATCCCCTCATATATGAGGTCCAACACTTCCACTCACTCACCATGATCGCCTGATTCAGGACTGAGTTGTGCACAGATGACTGTCCACTGACAGGTATCAGAGATAATTTGGCCCCATGGAAAGCCATGCCTTTAGAAACAGGCTGCCTGGATTTCAACCCCAAGTTTGCCATGTACTAGCTATGTAACTTTGAGCATTTACTTACCCCCTCTGCACTTCAATTTTCTCCTCTACGATGTGCAGATCATAGTGACATAGGTTCATTGTGAGGTTTAAATGAGTTAATGCTCATATGTAAAGCGCTCGTGATAGTGCTAGACATATGATAAGCACAATTCCAGGGTTCTCCAATTCATAACATATATTTACACATAATTAAATATTTATTGAGCACTTTCTGTGTGCCAGACACTGGGCTACATACCTTACATGTATTATTTCATTTAAACCCTACAACAACCTATGAATAGATACTATTATTACAGCCATTTTATAGATGTGGAAGTGGAGATTCAGGAAAATTAAGTTTCTCAAGATCATACAGCTTTTATGACTGCAAAACTTGTAGGTCAAGTCAGAAAAAGGAATGTATGATTCCACTTATATGAAGTGCCTAGAACAGTCAAATTCAGAGAGACAGAATGTACAATGGTAGTTGTTAGGGGCTGGGAGGAGAGGAGAATAGGGAGTTATTATTTAATGGGGACAGAGTTTCAGTTGGGGAAGACAAAAATGATATGGACATGAATGGTAGTGATGGTTGCACAACATTATGAATGTACTTAATGCCACTAAACTATACAGTTAAAAATGACTAATGTGGTACATTTGTTATGTATATTTTACCAAAATTGAAAAAAAAACAACTTTGAGTTAGGCCACTATACTTGACTACCTTTCTAAGAGGATGTATAGAAGGAGGGAAAGAAGGCAGGAAGGGAAAAAGGAAGGGATGGAGAGATGGATGAAAAGAAGAAAAGAGAGATGGGTTTCCTTACTCATCCATTTAACAAATATTTGGGTACTATTCTGAGAGCTGTGTGGAAAATATAGCAGAGAACAAGACAGACAAAGATGCTGTTCAGCGCTTGTAAGCATGTAAGTATTTGTATGTACAGACAGAGAAATTGTATCATGAATGTGAGAATTTGAATGATCATTTCTACTATTAATTAACTTCTCACTAACATGGTGCTAAGCCCTCTGCATGTATTCACAATACCCCTAGAAATAAGTCCTATCATTTCTTATCCCCATCTTCAGATGATAAAAACAAGGCACTAAAAACTTGCCCAAATTTGTGTAGATAAAAAAGTATCTGCTGACTTCCAGCCAAGATGGAGGCATAGGTAGACACACTGTGCCTCCTTGCACAACCAAAATAAGGACAACAACAATTTAAAAACAAAAAAAGAACCAGTACTTACAGAAAACTGAATTGTATGGAAGTCCAATAACCAAGGAGTTAAAATAAACACATTCATCCAGACTGGTAGGAGGGGCAGAGTTGGGGATCCCAGACAGACAGGGCTCACAGCAGGGTGGCTGGTGGGCCCCAGGCACTGCAAGGTGGCAGTGGGCAGACCCAGATAGGCGGCAGATTGTGGAAGGGCATGGTGCACAAGTCAGCTGGTGGGATGGGTGATCTCACATTCACGTGCAAATAAACCAGGCAAAACTAAGGAGCGAGACAGACCGCACAACTCAGAGTCCCAGCATGGGGAAATAAAGCCTCAAAACACTGACTGAAAACACCTGTGGGGGGTGAGATGTTGGGAGAAATTCCCAGCATCACAGGAGAGTTCAATGGAGAGACCCACAGGGACCCAGGATGTTCACAAAACTACCCACACAGGAATCAGCACCAAAAGGGCCTAACTTGCTTGTGGGAAGTGGGGGAGGGGACTGAAACCTGGCAGAGGGTGGAACAAGCACCGTGGTTTCCTCTCAGACCCCGCCCCACACACAGTCTCATAACCCAGCACCTGGGTCACCCCTCCCTGGTGAACACCTAAGGCTGTGCCCCTCACTACGTAATAGGCACGTCAAGACAAAAAAAAAAAAAAAATGGCCCGAACAAAAAAATAAATCAAAGCTCCAGAAAAAATACAACTAAGTGACAAAAAGATAAACAACCTATCAGATACACAGTTCAAAACACTGGTAATCAGGATACTCACAAAATTGGTTGAATTTGGTCACAAATTAAATGAAAAAATGAAGGCTATGCTAAGTGAAATAAAGGAAAATATACAGGGAACCATCAGTAATGGGAAAGAAACTGGAACTCAAATCAATGGAGTGGACCAGAAGGAAGAAAGGAACATCCAATCAGAAAAAAATGAAGAAACAAGAATTCTAAAAAATGAGAAGAGGCTTAGGAACCTCCAGGACATCTTCATACATTCCAACGTCGAATTATAGGGGTACCAGTAGAAGAAGAGGAAGAGCAACAAGTGGAAAAGTTATTTGAACAAATAATAAAGGAAAACTTCCCCAGTCTGGCAAACGAAATAGACTTCCAGGAAGTCCAGGAAGCTCAGAGAGTCCCAAAGAAGGTGGACCCAAGGAGGAACACACCAAGGCACACCATAATTGCATTATCCAAGATTAAAATGAAGGAGAGAATCCTAGAAGCAGCAAGAGCTAAGGGGACAGTCACCTACAAAGGAGTCCCCATCAGACTATCAGCAGATTTCTCAAAAGAGACCTTATAGGCAAGAAGGGGCTGGAAAGAGGTATTCCGAGTCATGAAATCCAAAGACCTACATCCAAGATTGCTCTATCCAGCAAAGCTTTCATTTAGAATGGAAGGACAGATAAAGTGCTTCTCAGATAAGGTCAAGTTCAAGGAGTTCATCATCATCAAGCCCTTATTTTATGAAATGTTAGAGACTTATCTAAGAAAAAGAAGATAAAAAACACATATACTAAAATGACAGCAAACTCACAATTACTAACAACCACACCTAAAACAAAAACAAACTAAGCAGACAGGTAAATCAGGAATGAAACCACAGAAATGGAGATCACATGGAGAGTTAGCAACAGGGGAGTGGGAGGAGGAGAAGGGGGGAGAAGGTACAGAAAATAAGTAGCATAGACAGTAGATAGAAAATAGATGGGGGGCAAGAATAGCATGGGAAATATAGAATCTAAAGGAATTGAGACACATGGACATAAACTAAAGGGGGTAAGGGTGGGGATGGGGGGGGGGGTGGAGGGGAATGAAGGGGGAGAAATGGGACAACTGTAATGGCGTAATCAATCAAATATATTTATATATTTAAAAATATATTATTGATTGTTATTACAGTTATTTATATATCTTAAATATATTTCATATTAGTTATTTATTTTTAAATATATTTTATTATTAGCTTATATATATTAAATATATTTTGTTATTACTTGTCCCATTCCCCCCTTCATTCCCCTCCACCCTGCATATCCCTCCCCCATTCCCCTTTTTAGTTCATGTCCGTGTGTCAAGTTCTTTAGATTTTATATTTCCCATACTATTCTTGCCCTCCCTCCTATTTTCTACCTACAGCCTATGCTACTTATTCTCTGTACCTTCTCCCCCCTTCTCCTCCTCCCACTCCCCTGTTGCTAACCCTCCATGTGATCTCCATTTCTGTGGTTCCACTCATCTAGCTGTCCTCTTAGTTTGTTTTTGTTTTAGCAAATTGGGACCTTCTGGTGCTGGTTCCTGGGTGGGTGGGCTTGTGTACATTCTAGGACCCTGTGGGTCTCTCCAACAAACCTCTCCTGTGAGGCTGACAGCCTCTCCTGGCACCTCAACCCCTGAAAGTTTTTTTCCAATTGGTGCTTTTAAGCTTTATTTCCCAGTGCTGGGGCCCTGCGTTGCACAGTCTGTCTCACTATCTGCTTTTTCACCTGGTTTATCTGCATGTGAATGTGTGACCATGGTCAGCCAGGTGCCTTGAGTGCCTCTCTGGGTCTGCCCGTTGCCACCCCACACCTGGGATCTACCAACCGCTGCCTGCGCACCTGGGTCAGTCTGGCAGCCACCACTTTTCCCTACTGGGACCCCTCTCCACTGGCTGTTGACTCCATCCCCTCCTACCAGTCTGGATGAATGGTTCATTGTTGTTGGACTTTGGTACAGTTCAATTTTGTCTATTTTGGTTGTGTGTTTGTTTCTGAATCTTTGTTGTCCTTAAATTTGGTTGTGCGAGGAGGTACAGTGTTTCCATCTATGCCTCCATCTTGGCCAGAAGTACTAAATGCCAGGAATGCAATCTTAACCAATTGGTCTGGAATTTTCTGGCTGGTGCCATGAGACCGTCTGTCATGATACATAGAGGTGCTTGATAAATACCTGTGGAATGAATATGATTAATGACAAATGTAGGCAAGGGCCACAGAGGCAGCAAACTGGATGCTGAGTTATAAACACAGGGTTTTTTAAGGTGGACGCAGCAGATCCATTTTGTATTTGAAGCAGCTGCTTTGCAATGCTTTGCCTCTGGTGTTGGCTGTTTCATTTGCCTATGAAGACCTTAGCCCTACCCTCCACCTTTAAAACACTTAAGCATTGTGAGCGCTTTACATTTTTGAGGTGAGCCACTCAGTAAATTTGACCTCCAGGTCTTCGCCAAAGGTTCAGACCTCACTGATATGGTATCTTGTGTAAAAGGCCCAGTTTTCAGGAACATTTATATACAGCAATTCTGCAGGCCTTCCACTGCTTCTAGATTTTCTAAATTATATTCTTGTGTCCCAGAGAGATATAGCATCATCCCCCCTTACCTGTGGGGGTACATTCCAAGACATTTTAGGGGGCCCTCATTTGGCCTCCACAATAACTGAGAGGAAAGAGGACTTCTGTAGGGTAGTCTGGTGGGGGCAGGAACAGGAGCACAGAGGAGCTCTTGCACCCAGTGGCCCAGGGTCAAGGTACAGGTGCATCGTCAGCTGCTGCAAACAAGAGCACATGGAGTAAATCCCAAAGGATGGGAGGGCAAGAACTGCATCTGACTCCAGGCGATCAGCCAGGTCAGGGTAGGAGTGAGACCTTGGGTTTCAGCTCACGTGGAAGAAAACCAGAGCCCACCCAGGAAAGAGAAGGACAAGCACGCAGGTGACTGGCAACTGAGATTTATTTAAACAATGAGTCAACAGAACAGGAAGTGGTATTACAGCCCTAGTAACTGGTTTCTCAACTGTGGAATAGACTGGTCGATGAGGCCTGGCCATCACTCAGGAGACTTGCATATCAACTTCAGGAAGGTCAGTGGCTGCAGCTTCTGGCTCAGCATCAACCTGGAAAAGGTTAGTAAGTGATCTCCTCCAAACCTGAGGGGGGAAAAAAAAACCACACAGCTAAGAGACTCCCAGTGCCAAGGAGAGAAAACACAGAGGTGGGAGAGTGTGACCCCACTGGGCACCAGCCTCCATGCCTGGTCCTGAGCACAGGCCACACCCTGGGTGCTAGCCACACCCCTGAGCACTGCAGTTCTGGTCTCCTGCTTCCTGAGATTTCACCAGGAAACAAGCTAGGTACAAGGCTGTGTTCACTGGTGGTTTTAAAGGTATGAAGCAAGCACCATCAGCCCTGGCCAGTGTGGCTCAGTTGGCTGGAGTGTCATCCCAAAAACCAAAAGGTCATGGGTTTAATTCCCAGTCAGTGCACATGCCTAGGCTGCGGGTTCGGTCATCCCAGTCAGGGTGCAAATGAGAGACAACCAGTCAATGTTTCTCTCCCTTCCCTTCTCTCTAAAATTCACTAAGCATGTTCTTGAAGGAAGAGTAAAAAAAAAAGACAGAAAGCATTGCCAGTTTATGGGCTCTCACTATTAACACCAAGCCTGTCCTTTAAAGGCTGAATTTGGAGCAAATGCAGACATGCTTCTTCACCACACACATATATTGTGGGACATTACGATACCCAGATAAAGTAGGAACTAAAGCCTCCATCATAACAATGTTCAGCATACTGTTACTCTGTAAAACCTAAAATCAACTCAAAATATTAACACACAACCCACACTTCCAAAGTTTGGGAAAGTTAAGTAAATTTGGAAATAGCCTCGTGATGGAATTTCATGAAGCATTCAAGTTCCACTCGGTGAGTTTTTAACAGCAAGAAGGAATACTCATGTTATAATGCTAAGTTGAAAAGATCAGGAATCAAAGTAACACAAATCTATAAATTCAACTCCACTAGAAATGCAGCAAGAGCTAGAAAAACAATGGGAGGAAAAGTTACTAGAGGTTCTGAGGGATGGGCACCCACTTCTCAGAGAGAGTAATTATTTTTTCCTATGTCATACTAAAATTACATTGTTTTGAAAATTTGGAAGAAAATAGCAATATAAAAACCCCACTAAGTGATTTTAGTTTTACCCTCACCTGAGGACATGCCTATTGACTTTTAGAGAGAGGGGAAGGGAAGAAGAGAGAGGGAGAGAAACTTCAATCATTGCCTATCATACAAGTCCCAACAGCAGGGGAACCCACAACCTGGGCATGTGCTCTGATCAGGAATCAAACCCACATTTCAGTTTATGTGATGATGCTCCAATCTACTGAGCCACACTGGCTGGGGCTAATTGTAAGTGATTTTAAATAAAAAACAAACTGAAAAGAAGTTGTGGGCTAGAGAGCACAGCTGAGTAAATTTATAAACTAGTGGGGATGACAAACCCCAGAGGAATGATTCCCTCCATTAGCCTGGAGTCTTCACATGGGGGACAGTCCTTGCCTCTATGGCTGTATATCTTTGGGACACATCTGTAGGAAGCCTGAGGGGCAGCTGCTATGTTCAAGACCATAACCAGGACCTAAGTGGTCTCCACATGGCTGGAGAGATGCCCAAGGGATGACCCTTGAGGAAGAGGGATGAGCCCAGGGCAGCTGTAAGGAGAAACTGGAGCGAGACCAAGGGAACAAAGGATCCATGCTCTCCCCATAGCCCTACTCTGCAGGCTGGGCAATGTCACCCTCATCTAAAGGTATCAGAGGGAGATATTCAACCCACAGTTTCAAGGGTTTGTTACAGGGATGCCATGACATGTGCTTACCCTCTAGTAAACCTGGTTATAAGCTGATTAAAAAGACAGACATTGGTTACTTTTAGTAAGATCATTATTTTAAACTTTCAAAGTTTGTCACCATCCACCCAAGGCAATTCCACAGCAGGTTCTGGTGCAGGGGCTCCACCTGACAGTTTTCCTGCTTTGGTGTACAGAAGATGGGTATGACGGCTAATCCTGGATGCAGTTACGGGCACAAACACACAATGAATGCTCTAGTGCTCTCTGGACTGCAAGTTCAGCTACATCTTGCATCCTTTGCACATCGGAAGTTCCCATTTTTACGCCAGAGCAAAGGTAAAGGCAGGTACCTAGCTCACTTCCCCCTCTGGTCGCCCAGCACAGGCAGTAATGCTTCATGAGCTGCTCCAGAAGCTCCATCTCGTCCAGGAATTCCAGGGCCTCAATTCTGGCAGAACAGCACAGATGTACAATTAAAAATAAGAATGACACGCAGTCACAGACACAAAAAGATGTTCACAACACAGACCACGGGAAGAGAGGCAACAAATAATAGGTAAGTTGTGGTTACATTTTTTTAAAGATTTTATTTATTTATCTTTAGAGGGGAAGGGAAAGACAGAGGGAGAGAAATATCAATGTATGGTTGCCTTTCATGTGTCCCCTTGCTAGGAACTGGCCTGCAACCCAGGCATGTGCCCCTGTCTGATTCGCTGGCCCACGTTCAATCCACTGAGCTACACAAGCCAGGGCATATTTTTATTGAAAAGAAAAAAAGTATGATAAGCAAAATCAAAAGCCAAAGGACAAAATTTTTTAAAAATTGCAATACAAATAACAGAAGTACATTTCCTTGCTGTATAAAGAGCTACTGTACTTCATTAAGAAAAATTTCAAAAACTCATTTAAAAGATGGGTAGGGACTTGGGGGATGGATAAAAAGGTGAAGGGGAATTAGTGGTACAAACATCCAGTTATAAAAACTAAGTAAGTTAAGGAATATACAGCACTGGGAAAACAGTCATGTATATAAATGCTGAATGCCTAAGTTGTATACCTGAAACTTATATATAATGTTTCATGTCAACTATAACTTTTAAAAAGGCAGGTAACACCAGTTCACTGGAAAAGTAAAACAAGAGGTTTTCAATCTCACTTCTGAGAAAAAACATGTACATTTCAATATCTGACACCTTTCCAACTACTGGATGGAAAGAAATCAAACGCTGCAATGCTGTAGCCTCACTCAGCAATTCACTCTGATCATCTACCCTATAAGTGCACACAAATCCATGTTCAAAAACACTCACTGAAGCATCACAGCTGCTATCTATGTAGGGATAACAAAAAGTCCCACAAACCACAAGAGATGGGGGCTAATAAAGCACATTCACACAGGACACTGACAGCCATTTAAAAGAATAGGGTAGGTCTATAAATATTGACATCAACAGCTTCCAAGACACATCATGGCATTTAAAAAAGGAGGTTGTTTTAGTAAATGATGTACACAGATGACTACTATCTATGTAAAGAAAAAGCAGGCACCATAACTCATACATGCATAGAACTTTTGAAAGGTAGACTATTTGGGAAAATACAGAAAAAACTGACAAGGGAATAGATGAACAGTGAGGGTGAGTGAGGTGAGGGTTTTTGATTTTTCTTTATACTAATTTAGCTTTTTAATCATATGCTTGTATAATTTTTCCCAAAATGTATTTTAAATATAAACTTTTAAATGTATGCACAGAGAAACATGCAAATATATGAAATAGCTTTTTAAAATATTTTCTGTCATAGACACACACTGTGGAGAAAAAATTCAGGCATCTTCAAAAGGTATAAAAAACAATAAAATGATCCACAGTCCTACTATTCACAATAGCCAATACTAACACTGTGAAACTGCCTTGTACCCGGGCTGTGTGTGTGAGGGTGCACATTTCCCTATTTGTACACTTGTTCCTGCCTTGGTTTTGCAGGCCCAAAGGTCACATCTGAAGTGAGAATGTCTACTCATAAGAAATTTTGGCTGCTTCCTAACTAACGTTCCCAACTAACCAGAAGACATTCAAGGCGGGCTTCCTAATAACAAGTTCTAGAAGAAACCAGAACCCTAAAAAGGAGGTTATTACCATGTTCAGCTGCCAGAAGATGGCTATTCACGAGAATGTGAACTCCACAAGGAGGCACATCATTGCCCTATTTTGATCAGTTAGTCCCCCTGTGCTTAGAAAGTGTGTGGCACAAAGTACGCACTCAGCACCTGTTAAATCGCTAGTCCTGCTTTATGCACAGTATCTGGCAAAACCCTTGGCAGATGTGGACACATACTATGTGTCATTCACAGAGCTGGGAGGACTGACTGGTCAGCCCGGGGGAGACACACCAGAGCTACTCCACCTCCTCACCCACCTCTGTTGGGGACACATGTTGCTGTCTACAAAAGGCCATAGCAGCACAAGACAGACGACTGCCTAGAAGTTGCTGCCCCATGGCTGATGCCAGTTACAGACTCCTGCGTGGGCATCGAGAAGAGCTGCAAGAATGGTTCCATTACCAATGCCAGACTAGGGCTCTTCAGAAGAGTCATCCTGACATGACGCAAATGAAAACCAGCCTGTGGGAACGGAAAACTCAAGACAAATCCAGAAAGCATTGACCTGCTCATGTGGAGATTGCACAGACCTTCAATGCTTTGACATACAGACTTGAAAAAAAGTGATACTTCTACCAGTAAAGAAGGTGTATGTGTAGAGAAGCAAGACCAAAAATTATTATTATCTTACAAGAGACCAACAGCTATTCCTGTAGGTCCCCAAAGGCAAGAGAAAACACAAAGCAGGAAATACAAATAAGTATTTTTTAAAAGCTGGCAATAACAATGTTGAGATGAATATGGTGTGTGCCTGCCAATGTTTTCTGTAACAGGGAAATTAAACCTAAACAAAATAAAACACAGGACGCCACAACTCATCCACACATGAAAAGGAATAATGTGTACCATTAAACTTAGTGACCTTCAATGTTTTCATAGGTAAATACAATCTGTTAGATTTTTTTAAAAGGAGGGTGATTTACAGACTGTATAATATGAAGCTACTGATTCAAAAAATACAATCTATAAATCAGTAAGTACTTCTCTTTACAGAATCACCCCACTCATGAACCACAGCTCGCTGGAGGGCTTGGGTGCAGACAACATGACTTTACACTTCATGTACTTTTACACTGCTTCAAAATTGTTTTAGAACAAGTGTGTATTTCTGTTATAAAGAGAGCAAAAGTCCATTTAGAGGTCTGCGAGCAGGCTTTTTCTATAAAGCCCTTGAACAATGTCCTCCTCCTCCCACTCCCCAAAACGAGGATCATGCACAATTTCCACTGCAGACACTACTCTGGGAATTTTGCAGGTGTAACTGCTGCTTTTGAAAAGATCACCTGTTTTGGCATAAACCCTATCTCAGCTAATAGCTAACGAGTTACTGTTGTGGTGCTAGGAAGTTTAATCTGTGTGAGCAGGTTAACTTGTTTCAAAATGGGTGTAGTTAGGGTTTTGTTTGTTTCACACTAGTGCACAGACTTAACCTTGCACTCCTGTACCTGCTGACTTCAGTCCGAGGTAATCTGCTGTACAATTCCATCATGTTCACGGCTGATGCTGTTTCCCACCCGTTTGACAGGAGCCGTTCTTTCTGAAACATGTGGTGGAGAGAAATGGAGAACCACAAGGCACTGTCATAATCGCAGACATCTTTAAACACGTGAGAATTTCCTACATGACTCCTCTTTCAAAAGTCCATTTCAGCACCTATCATCTTCCTTATTTTTATTTTCCAGCATTCTATACTGAACACACACTGTTACCTATTTAAATAAGGGCAGAAATGGGAGGTGTCTCTTCAGTCAAAAAATGACATTTTTAAAAAGAGGTGAGACTACTATTGATTCCAAGAGATTCAGGGACATAAAACAGTGTGGACCATGTTTGGATCCTGATTCAAATGCACTAACTCTGAACATTTAAATAATTGTGGACAACTGAACATGAGCTGGATGTTAGATGCTACAAAGGAGTCATTGCCAATTTTAAGATATAATCATAGTATTGTAATTAACCCAGGGGGAAGAAATTCCTATTGGTAGAAGATTTACACTGAAGTATTTATGGGGAAGAAATGATATACTATCTGGGATTTGCCTTAAAATATTTCAAAGACAACACCAATAAAAATTTGGAGGGAATAAACAATATTTACAAAATATTAACTACTGAAGCTGGCTGATGGGACATGGGTGTTTGTTTTACAATTCCTTCCACTTTTCTGTTTAAAAATGCATAATAAAAGGTTAAAATAATAGGGTGTAGTAAGTAAATATGTATTTTTGACACCAAGGTGGGAAAGCAGGCTTGGACTTCCCCAGCTGAACTAGTGGCCTGCAAGGAGCACTAGCCACCTGCACACAGGCCCTCAAGAGGGCTGCTCACATTCTGCTATCAGTGAAGGGCGGACACCCTTTCTTGGCTGGCTAAGGGTACAAGAGGACATCCCAGTCTCTGCTCTCTGACCTGCGACTCTAAGGACTTGCAGGTTTCCACCCCTGCCAGGTCACACTGTCGTCTCCGCAGGTGTTCGATCATGATCTGCCCAAACCGGTCATCCATGTTCACCTGGGAAGGAACAGAACAGCCAGGCACTGCCATAACAGTTTTATTCTTAAATAAGCAAAATAAAATAACATCCTATTTTTAATCAGTCCGTACTGAGGTTTGTTAACACCTGGTGCAGGTAATGGAATCTGTGTGCAGTGTCAACAGTGACACAAAGTGGGGTGGCCCCGGAGGACACCCACTGTACACATAGCCTGTGGCCCCGCTATCAACCCACTGCAGGCGATCTCTCTTGCAGGTGCACCTGTATCGTGTGCACAAAGATGCAAGAATGTCTACTGCAGCATTCTACCGAACAGAATACTCTGGAGAGAACTTAAATGCGTATCATTTGAGGTTAAATTCTGGCATGTTTCATATATATAATGAAATACCATACAGCAGGAGAAACAGGAAAGACATAGATATGAGGAGGGACCCCAAAAATACAAAAATTATTTTCTGGAGGGCGGGCCCCTTGTAGTACAGGGTTCCTCCACTAGGTGGGTGTTCTAGGAACCCATCTGTATCAGTGTACCAGCTGGTAGTATTGTGAGAGGCTGGGTTCAGCTTTGGTGAATTATTTTTGAAGGCTCCTGCAACACATTTGCCCATTTCAAGATAATGCACCTGCCCACACCGCCCTGAGTGTTCAGCAGTTTTTAACCAAATACAGTATGACCCTGTGCCCTACTCTCACTATTCACCTAGTTTTGTCCTGAGTGACTTTGTTTCCCCAGATGAAAAAAGTCCTCACAGCTGAAAACGCTTTGCTAATGGGGAAGAGGTAGAACAAAAAATGGCAAAAGTGCCCTGAATGGTGCAGCTCAGCAGCCTGAGCACCAGCCTGCAAATCAAAAGGTCTCCAGTTCAATTCCCAGTCAGGGCACATGCCTGAGTTGTGGGCCAGTTCCCCAGTTGGGGGCATGTAAGAGGCAACCAATCGATGTTTCTCTCCCTCTCTTTCTCACTTCTTTCCCATCTCTCTAAAAGCAAATATGTAAAATCTTTAAAAAATGGCAGTAGCACATTAAAAGGCATCAGTATTGACAAGTTCAAAAACTACTTTGGGCAGTGGGGGAAAACGTCTCGATAGGTGTACTGCATCAAATGGAGAGTACTTTGAAGGTGAGTGAAGTTTAAACATCTAAGAATACACAGTTTTTAATAAATAAATTTCATTTTTGGGTCCCCCTTTGTACAGATATTAATATAGATAGCAATATGAAAAGACCTCCTAAGATCTAAAAACTCCTGAAAATTAAGGTGTAGAGGAGTGTGCACTGTAATGCCCCATCTGCCTTTAAGAAGAAATCCTCTCTACATTTACACATACAGAAAAATTCTGGAATATGGCAAAGTTGCTTCCCAGGTAAGGGGGCTGAAGTCTGGGGACAAGGACTTACATTTCTTTATCTTATTTTTTGTACTACATGATATGTTTTTATTCTGCTTTTGAATAAAAAAAGTGTATAAAAACCCATAAACCATTATTAAATTCTGTATGTGCCCAAATGCCACAAAACATAATCTTACGCACACTGTTATAGCATATATACAGTTACTTTGTCATATACAAAGTACCAAAAATTCATCACTAACAATATGTAAAACAAATCTCAGGAGTTCGCATATGACAACAAGAACCAGTGCTTTCTCTTTTGGTGGGTGAGTAAGGCTCATGTGGCACGAATGGTCAGGTCACACACTATTCAATCAGGATGGACGCGGTCTAGGAGCACACACTCCATCACTTTATTGCCTGGGCATACATCCTGGCTTGACTTTTCATTGTTGTAAGACTGTGGGCAAGCTGCCTTACTCTCTGTGCTTCAGGCCCCTCAACTGTAATACCTGTAAGTACAAGGACAAGTACTTACCCTGTGGGTTGCTGCAAAATTAAGTTGACATATGTGAAAGTCATAGCATACATAACACCTATACATTGTAAATAAATTCTAGGACTTTGCTGTTATTGTTATCATTATTATAGTTATTGTCCATGTGGTTTTGTCATTTTTAAACTAATTAGGAAGTAATGTAAGGCATGTGAGCAATTATTAAGTGTGAGGAGGCTAATGATTTTGTATTTGTTAGAAAATTATTGAATTAAGTGGTAGGTGGTATCTGAAGCAGTTTGGGGACAGCCATGGACAACATATTAGATGATGGTCCATTCCCAGCCCTGTTCCAAAGTGACAGGATCTCTGGGCAAAATTTACTGATCCACCATCTCCATTTGATGTTGTATAAAATACCGTTGAATAGAGGAATACACGAATGAAGCAAAGTGAATGAAGTAGTACACATCCAAGGCGTGTGGAGACATATGGAAAGCAGAATTCATTTTCCCTAGGTGTGGCATCCTAAGCAAAGACGGGTTCCCAGGATTTATTCACATGAAAAAAGAAAACACCAAGGAGGCCAGCTGCCATTACGTCCACTCCCCAGGAATGAAGACTGAGGCTGAAGACAGTCCCCAGTTAAAGAGAGAGACAGAAGAAATCAGCCAACCAGAAACCACCTGCACAGGAACCTGGACCAGGGGTGGGGGAGACCAAGGTTTAGCCCTAACCTGTCTATAATCACATAACCTTAGGCAAGACCCTGTACTGCTCTTACCTATAATAAAATTTAAAAATAAAATTAACGTGAGACAGACAATAAAATCAGTAAAACTAAAATGAAATAAACAACAAAAATAGCTACCATGTTCCCACCACTGCAACATCTCATCATCTCATGAATTCCCATAATACACCAGAGAGGTAGGCATTCCTTATTCCTTGACGGACAAAGGATGGGGGCTCAGAGATACAAATAATAACCAACGCTTAACAGCCAGGTAATGCTGTAACAACCCTATGAAGCTGGGACTTCTTTATCCTCATTTTTCAGATAAGGAAACAGGCACAGAAATGTTATGCGACTTGCCCAGTTCACACAGCTAGGCAGTCTGTCTCCAGGTCGCGGACTCCCAACCACTAATCGCAAAGCCAGTAATAAGAACTAGGTCTAGAACTAGGTTGTGCCTCAGTTGTTTGGGCATCATCTGCAAACCAAAAGGTCACCAATTTGATTCCAAGTCAGGGCACATGACTGGGTTGCAGGTTTGGTCCCCTGGGGTGCATAGGTAAAGCAACCAACCGATATTTCTCTCCCTCTCTCTCTCTCCCTTCCCCCACTCTCAAAAATAGGGGGAAAAAATTAAAATAAAATAAAATAGCTAGAGCTAGGATTTAGAACAAAGCTGGATAATCCAAAGCTCTAAAACAATCCATCTGCACTAGATCAGAAGAGCAAACCAGCAGCCAGTGCACCAAACTGTGATTTTAGAAATTAGGAAATGTTACTTTAAAATCCTGTATTTCTCACTTCTGAAAAACTGGGAGTTCTGGCAACCGCAGGCTCACATGGAGACAACAGGCTGGAACTGAAGAGTGGCCACTCCCACAAGATGGGATGTGGGTAGTCAGTACCCTAGTCCTCATCACTCCACAGTAGTCACTTGCCAACTTCCTCCACCTGCATCATGTGTCCGCCTCTGAGGGCATTAAGTTTGCTACCCCTACAGTGAAGGCAGATGAAACTCCCTCAATCAAAGGCTTGACCTGAAAGTAACTATTGGGTTGGCCAAAAAGACCCTTACTTTTTTCCCATACAATGGCTCTAGTAGTGCTAAGCTGTCTTTAACTTCATTCAAAACAATTTTGTTAGATTGTATTGTGACATATCAGCGTGCATTTAAAAAAAACAATTGGTGAATTTTTGTGCAGCCATTTTAATATTGAAGATGGAAGAAAATATGAAATATTTTCAGTGTATTATGCTTATTATTTCAAGAAAGGTAAAAACATACTGAAATGCAAACAAAGGTTCCTGCAGCGTATAGAGAAGGTGCCATAACTGATGGAATGTGTCACAAGTGGTTTGGGAAATTTCTTGGTACTATGACATTTTGGCCAAATAATTCCTTGCTGGGCAGCTGTCTTACGCACTGGAACATGTTTAGCAGCACCTCTGGCCTTTGTCTACTAGAAGTCAATAATGGGAGATTAGCTGATATACTCAAAATATCCAAATCAATAAAGTTATTGGTGAAAATTAAGAAAATGTCTTTTATTTTACGGAAAAACTAAATAGATTTTTGGCCAACCCAATACAATGATCAAATAAGAACTCGAAAAACTTTTATAAGGGCCAAAATAGCAGTTCCAAAAACTCTGGCTAAAAGTTTGCAGGAAGTCAACAAGTCAGGAGCAGCAGGACCACTGACATCAACTAACAAATGAGACACATTTGGCCAAAGGCCGAAAGAAGCCAGAGTAGCAGCACGTACAGGCTGCTCAGTGGGAGAGCCGTCCCTGGGCTCCTGTGCAGAACACAAGTTTCCTGTGCTTCCTTTTACCTGTTCGTAGTTTATGAACATGGCGGTCCCAAAACTGTTGGCTGCCCACTTGATTAGGTTTGCAGACTGCTCCGGAGTCATGTAGACCAGCACACATTCCGTTATCAGGAGTGTTGGCAATCTTGAGAGATGAAAATGAGTCACATACGTGTTTTTCATCAGGTTGGGACTCTGGCTGTATACATGTCAGGGTAATGGCAGAGCAGTTTACAGCCCAGGAAAACCAGAAGCACTTAGCAAGCACATGATCAATCAGCACAGTAACATATGTGTGACACCATCACATCCCAAAGATTTATACTGCACAAAGGTTGAGTCATGAGCAATGGCTGCCTGGCTTGTGAAAATGTGTTAAATGGCTACAGATTCTCCCCAACCCTGCATCCACACCATGGCAATACCAAACTACAGGTTCCACCACTCAAGAGGGGGACATCATATTCTTCCCTTGGAATCTGGGTCAGTCATGTGACCCACTTTGCCAATGAACAGGAGCAAACAAGAAGCCTGCTGATCACTGCACAGGGGTGTTTGCTCTCCTGCTACACTGGCAACCTAAAACTACCATGCAAGTGATCCCAAACTAGCTTCATAGGAGAGGCGGCCCCCGGCATGAACAAGACAGACCATGTGACAGTGAGTCAGCCCCCAGCTGACCTGCCCTTTGTGTGTGCGTGCCCACATGTATATGGGCACACACACAAGTGAACCCCCGGGCATATCAACTGAGTTCTGCCTCCCAGCAGAGGAACCACCCAGCTACACCCAGCCCAAACTGTCACTTCAAGTCCCCAAGCAACTAAATTACGAGCTGTCTGAAACCTCTTCAGTTTGGAAAAATTTGATACACATGACGAGATGACTGGTACAATGCAGAAATACTGATATTTACTAAATAGAATGTAGTTCTTCTTATATAAGCTGATACCATGATGAACTGAAAACATGAACAGTCTTCAAGAGTAAAAGATAGAAACTGTACTTGAACAACAATTAAATTTTTAAAAAGATATTTTAAAAAAGAAATTACATTATATTTAGGATCCATTCTTGTTTACCAGACCCAAATTACTGAACAAATTAGGAAAAGCAACAAACTCCTTCAGAAATACCGAAAAGTCTTAATTCTTATAAGGGAACACAGACACAAAGACATTTTTAAACAAGCAAACAAACAAACAAACAAACAAGAAACCCCACTCCTATTCAATAACAAGCAGGAGCAGTCACATCAAAACCCAGATTCCAAGATGCAGGGTGAAGCTCCAGGCTTCCTGTATCAGCTTTAAACATCTACTACTAATCATCACTCACTAACTTGCTCAAGAAAAGCAGTTGTGGCCTTCAACAATAAGACCCATCTGCTAAAGAACACACTACATCTTGCAATCTGTGAATCATTTTGAGGGTTCCCCAAAGGGGAAGAAAAGGCAGATGGGTATGTAAATCTTAATAACAACTTGGCTGATGATTCTAGGCTAAACACATAAACAAGAACTTCAAAATGTAGACAGCCATCACCACATAAATGAAATATTTGTCAGGAAGATCAAGATTTAATTCCCTATACTTCCCTCTCCTCTGTCACCCAAAGCTCACCTGTATTTGCAGCTGTTCCTACTCCCCTTTCTCCCCTCTCAGAAGAATGAGGATCTTTCCTTTCCACTGAAGGACACTTAGCCTCAGTCCATGCTCTACAGCCCCCTTCCCTTTCCAGCAATGACCCCCCTAGTTGCTAAATTCTTTAATAATCCGCTAATGATTTTTGCCTTTGTTGGGGACCACTCTGTGGTTTTGGAGACTGCAGCCTTATGAGAGCAAGCCCTGAAAGGGGCTAGTAAGTCTTTCTTGGTAAAAACACAGGTGGCAGGCATGACCCAACTCTTAATACTAAGGGTTCCCGTGGAAATCAGGCCTGAAATGTACATTTTGCCTCTGAAGCCTGCTCCAGCTAGCAGAGCCCAGTTGATATAAACCAGATGTTTAAGTTCAAGGCATAAGGAGGAAACTCCTTACCTCATGAAACACATCTGAAAGACCATCTGGCGTCAGCATGTCTCATAGACTCTGACCTATGACAAATCTCAGTGTTCCTTCAATTGTTATCTTTAAATAATACCTGTTTTTGTATGACTATAGCCTTTTGACATTAATGAGCTATGCATATATGCTGTATACACTACATATACCATTCCCAATAAAAGCCATTTGGGGAGAAGGGCTCACAGTATTCCCCACTAGAGGGAATTGCCACCCCCTTTCCCACCAGAACAACAAGATTGTGTCTGGGACTACTTATTTCTCATCTGCAGCACCCAGGACAGCTCTGCTGAATGGAGTTCCTCCCACATGCCTTCATTTTCTTCAAAATAATGTTCTCTTGACCTTATCCCCTCAAGCCTCTTCCTTAAATTTTTCAAATATTCTTGAAAGTGTCATCTTCACCTATAGTAGATCATGTAGACATGTTCTTATCTCCCACTAACTCTTTAATTCCAATCTAATTATGATCAGCATCACTATGCTAAAATCACACATCTCATTCCCCTCCTCTGTGTCCCAAAGGCCCTAACTCTCCAAAATTTGGTGTGAGCCCTTCTCCTCCACTTTAAAAATACTTCTGTGAAGTATGTATGTAATCATGAAAATATAGTATTTGGGGAATCTGATTTTATATAGTTGGTAACACACTAAATATATTACTCTGCAACATATTTTTTATCCAACTTTTTGAGCTCTCTCCATCCTGACCTAGGTCATGAACTGTAAAGGTTATTCATTCACTCCCCTCCTGATGGACCTTTAGATTGTGTCCAATTTTCTGCTACTAAAAATGGTGGCTGCAATGAACATCCACCTTGTGCATACATGCAGGGGACATACCTGAATGTGGAGCTACTATATCATGTTACCCACATCTGCAATCTTACCAGATATTTCCAGACTATTCCTCACCATGGTTGTACTGAGTTTACTTCCACCAGTGGTGTGTAACCATTCCTTTTACCCTGTCATCTTGCCAACAGTTAATATTGCAAGATTTACACATTTTTGCCAACTTGATGGGAGTAAAATGAAATTTCATCTGATCATTACTGTGGTCTCTTACCCCTTTTCCGTAATATTCAATTTCACTTTTGAGCTACCTAGTCTTTTTTTGTCCATTTGCCTATGAGACTTTTTTCTTTTTTCATAGTGGCTATTCTTCATATATTTTGGATGCTAATCCTTTATATGTTCCAACTGTATGTTGCTATGTTGCAACTGTATGTTGCTTGAACGAATTATCTTCTCTCAAGCTTTGTTTATATTACACATCAGTACTATATTTTACAAAAGCAATACAGGTCATTCTGATGTGAAACAGACTTGAGAAACACTGCTTCTAAAAAACTCAGAAAGTTACTTGAGGCAGCAATGAAATGAAGCATGGGACATGCGTTATCATGCTGCACTGCCAACTGGCCTTGTCTCATGTTAGCATGAAACCAAAAATGTGTAAGAAGTAAAAAAAAAACTCACTGTGTATTCATGTTACATTTCTTTAGTTTCTCTTCCAGGTCAGATAAATCTCGAAGATCTGCTCCAATAATGGCATATCTCTTTGAATCCAACATGTGTCCATCTGCAAATACAAGGAGATAATTTCAACAGAAATTAATCAAGAAGAGATTATATGCCAACGAATATGGCTTCTTCAAAATTAAATGTATTGTTTTTCTCCATTATAAGAATATACGCTCATTATTTTTAAAATTCAGTAAGAAAAGTGGAATTAACTAAAATCATATTTCCCAAAAATACCTACCCATGTTTTGGTGTATAGCACTCCAGCCTTTTCCCTGAAGTGCTTAAGCTCACATACTCAACACAAACACTGTCCCCCTGCATGTGTCTTTCTCTTTCTCAGCACATACACACTTCACACAGAAAAAGAAAACAGGGCCACTTAATACTTATTTTGAAAAATGCTTTTCCTACTTAAAAGTGATTTCATGGTGTTCTGCTGAGTGAATGAAACAGCTGGCTGAGCCAATCCCTCACTACCGGATGTGGTATTTCCAAGTTGCCTCTGTCTTGGGCACTGGGATGAACATCCTGTATATGTATTATGAAGCACCCATCTAATTATTTCTTTAAAATAAGTAGAGAGTAACCTGTGTGATATATATACCCAGGGATGTTCCTACAGTGTGTAAGACGGAGATGTTTTTTAAGGGTATAACCTAAAGATCTAATGCAAAGTATATCAACACTGACACCCATACTGTACTATAATCATCAAACTTGCTAAGAGGCTAGATCTTAATTATGCTAACCACTAAAAGGAAATGATGATAATGTGATGTGACAGAGGTACCAATCATCACAATGGCAGTAATACTACAATAAATAAATGTGTCAAATTAACAGGCACACCTGGAGCTTACACAGTGTTGTATGTCAAATATATTTCAATAAAAAAGTAGGTGGCTAGAAGGGGAATGAGGAGGTTAAAGATTAAGCCTATTTTACATTGGTATTGATTGGCAGGCTGCTCCCTCAATGGTATGCCAATTTGTAAGATACTATGTTCAAAAGGAAATAATTTATGATCTGAACTATTTGCAAATAAAATAACACTTGCTTTAAAAGTATTCCAACAGAGGCTGGATGGCACCAATGGTTTTCAAGCTGTGGCTGTATCAGAACCACACACATTAATGGGCTCCACCCCCACAGTTTCTGATGCGGACCTTTCAAAATGTAGAGATTTGCATTTCTGACAAGTTCCCAGATGGTGCTGATGCTGCTCATCTGGGACTTCACTCTCAGAACCCCTGGTACAGATGACTGGCAATAGTGAACAGCAGGTGAAGGGTTCATGATGGAGTTTCAACAATCTAATCAGAATTTCTGTGTATACCTGAAATTTTTTTCAGTTAAAGTTAAAAAGGAGATTTATGAAAAAGAAAACTGACTATTTACCCAAAGCATCGCTCAACTTCCTCAAGGGTACAAATCAGGGAAGGAGTTGGAACATCCAACAGCCATCCTGTGTCACGGCTGGTAACTCAGATTCTCCTGGCTTTGAGGACCCACAGCAAACAATGTGGAAAAAGGTAAAGCTCAGCACAGAAGCAGGTTCTCTCTTATTATCTTGATGACCCCAACTGGCTGATTCCACTACACTTAGCCACACACCATAAGCTAAAAGAAACATCTCCCAGGAACCTACTGGGTGTTAGGAAAGCACCCAAGAACAAGTGGGAAAACCCAAGTCAGCCCCCAGCGACACAGTGCCCGAGTCAGGAAAAGATTATAAAGAACAGGAATGCATCTGTCTGCCGCACTATGAAGTCAAATGATTCCCAAACGCCTATGTGCCTTCTTATAAATAACATACATATTAGTAATAAGCATATTTTTAAAAAGATTTTATTTATATATTTTTAGAGAAGGGAAGGAAGGGAGAGAGGGACAGAAACATCAATGTGTGAGAGATACATTGATCGGTTGCCTCCTGTACACCCCCAACTGTGGACCTGGCCCACAACCCAAGCATGTGTCCTGCCTGACAGGGAATTGAACCGGAGACCTTTTGGTTTGCAGGCTGTCACTCAATCCACTGATCCATACCAGCCAGGACAATAATAAGCATATTTAATGTAAGTTTTCTATGCCTAACAACAACAAAACCCACAGAATTTTGAAGCATGAAGTTCAGAGGAGACATGTCTTACCAGAGATTTGGAGCTACAGATAGCTCATAAAGTAGAAATGTGCACTGTTATGATTACTCTTAAAAATTGAGCACAAGGTACAGAGGAGATGGAGGTGTCGGTGACCTGAGGTACTCCTGGTCATGGCCCAGCCATATCCACAGCATGCTGGCATGTCACCTAGGAAATGCTGAAGGAGATGGGCCAAGTCACATTAACAATAGACTCTGATGATTCCAACAGTGTTGGGGAGTGCCCTGCCTGGTTTCAGAAGCTATAACCCCCAATAGCTAAGGCTGAGTTAAAAGACCTTAGGACCATAAGCCACTAAGGAGATAAAACTTATCCTCCCAGCAGGGGGACAGCCCCTGCCCCCTTTACTTCACTCTGCTTGGCCCCTGGAGGATGGCTGGTTAGTCAATGATGTGTAAGATTCCTCAAGAAAGGAACCTAGGACCAGCACAGCAGCTAAGGGGCCATCAGGGAAGGACCTAGGGGACTGTGGAAAAGGGAAAGAAGATCCTCATCCCTTGGCTTTGTCATAGCCTAAATCCTCATTCTATCTGTAAAAAGTCTCCTAATCTCTTGGCTGCCTGCATCCCCCATCTGATTCAGGACTGGAACAATGCCAAAGCAGGGTGCAGCCCTATGCCAGAATGGGTGCTTCCCAATGGGGGGAGAGGGGGAGCATTGATCAGGCCTAAGAAAGAGGCTCTTCACAGGATATTAGGCCTAAGGCATAATATCCTGTGAAACCTGCTTTGCTCAATTTAAATGTTAAGGATCCAAGCACAAAATAAGTCCGTTTCCTAAAGTTTTATGGCCCTTTGGCATCACTCTACCTATCTGACCCTGAATCAGAGTAAGCCCTTACAGGTCTTTGAAAGTTATCTGTTCCTTGATCACTACTGCCTGACAACGACTGATGAGCTCTATGTATACACCCTGTATTCCTATGCAAACTAAACCCGATAAAAGCCCAGGAAAAGAGGTGCTCGAGGCTCTTCTCCTCAGAGAGACTGGCAACCTTTCCTCCCCAAGCAGATCACGTCTTTGTAGATTTACTCTCATCCACGGCAGCGGCCAGGAGGGCTCTGCAGGACGGAGCTCCCCCATACAACAGCACAAACTCCATAATTCTTGTGCCACACTGAAGTTGGGGCTACTCAAGCTGTGCAAAGAGGTCCATTACCTGACCTCCCAGGATGCCTTTCCCTCACTATGCAAGGAGCCGAGTTTCAAAGGCGTTTTACTATTCCAGGAAAATAAGCCATCTCAGCATGCAAAGTTATATAACATTTGAAAATAGCAGAACATCCTTTCAGCCTATCAGACGGGAGAAATTTTACTTTTTTTACTTTATTTATTTTTATTGTCCATCATAACTTTACTGGGTCTCTCCCCTAAAGACAGATAATGATATGCATATATGCCTTCAGCATTAAAACCATGAGATAGGTTTCTGTAGCATACAGAGATTCCTGGGGAGCTGCCAAGATGATCCCGGGCACTTAAGACACCCAGACTGGAATGGTGCTTCCGTTCCTATGTTTGCATGTGAGGCCTCCATATCAATGGGCTCCAGTCAATGGGCTCCACTGGAAAAACACAAACTTTTGCCCGTCTCTGCTGGATAAATTGCTGGAGATTGACTTAACCAGCTCTTCAGTCTACCACTCCAGTTCTTTTTCTTTGCCATCATTTGGTGGCCTGTCGAAGAGATCTTTCCACAGCTTTGGTACCATTTTCCAGTCTCAGACTCCTCTGGCCTTGAATGTCAATTTCCCCTTTGACCTTACTGATCTTTCCTTGAACCTCTTCTTCATTGAGTTGTGCCTCCTGGACTTCCTGCTGCAATTTTTGGCTTCAAGACCCCTTTCCAAAATCTGGATTTGAGACAAAGTCGTCATTTTCTCTCACATTCTGTCCTTTTCTGTCTTATTTCTTGAAATTGATCCTTCAGCTGTTTTTCATTTTCCTGTTCAGTCTGTAATTCATTTTCCTAAAATTCTTCCTCTTCAATTTCGACATCATTTCTTTTGATCTTTTGCTCCAGGAAGACAATTTTTCTCTTCAAAGGTAGAATTATACTTTTGTTCCCAAAATCATATTTCTATTTCATTTGATTCTAGCTCTATCTCAATGGAGAGAAGCTTTTCTGATGCAAATGGATCAGGTTCTTTAACTCATCTGCTGTTGTTTTACAGTTATTTGGCATGTTTGCTTGAATTCAGTTTACCTTTTCCAAAAATTTCCATTAATCCTTTGGCACCTCTGTAAAATGTTTATGATTTTCTTTTCTAAAAAATATATTTTATTGATTATGCCATTACAGTGGTCCCATTTCCCCCCTCATTCCCCTCCACACTGCACACCCCTCCCCCACCATTCCCCCTTTAGTTTATGTCCATGTTTCAGTTCTTTAGATTCTATATTTCCCATACTATTCTTGCCCTCCCCCTTATCTATTTTCTACCTACCATCTATGCTACTTATTTTCTGTACCTTCTCCCCCCTTCTCCTCCTCCCACTCCCCTGTTGCTAACGCTCCATGTGAACTCCATTTCTATGGTTCTGCTCCTGATGTAGCTGTCCTCTTAGTTTGTTTTTGTTTTAGGTGTGGTTGTTAATAAGTGTGAGTTTGCTGTCCTTTCACAGTTCATCTTTATCTTCTTTTTCTTAGATAAGTCCCTTTAACATTTCATATAATAAGGACTTGGTGATGATGAACTCCTTGAACTTGACCTTATCTGAGAAGCACTTTATCTGCCCTTCCATTCTAAATGAAAGCTTTGCTGGATAGAGCAATCTTAGATGTAGGTCTTTGGATGTCATGACTTGGAATACTTCTTTCCAGCCCTTCTTGCCTGTAGGGTCTCTTTTGAGAAATCAGCTGACATTCTGATGGGGACTCCTTTGTAGGTGACTGTCTCCTTAATCTCTTGCTGCTCCTAGGATTCTCTCCTTCATTTTAATCTTGGCTAATGTAATTATGATGTGCCTTGGTGTGTTTCTTCTTGGGTCCAACTTCTTTGGGACTCCCTGAGCTTCCTGGATTTCCTGGAAGTCTACTGCCTTTGCCAGATTGGGGAAGTTCTCCTTTATTATTTGTTCAAATATTTTCCACTTATTGCTCTTCCTCTTCCCCTTCTGGTACCCCTATAATTCGGATGTTGGAGCGTTTAAAGATGTCCTGGCGGTTCCTAAGCCTCTCCTCATTTTTTTGAATTGTTTCTTCATTCTTTTCTGTTAGCCATTTTTTCTTCCTTCTGGTCCACTCCCTTGATTTGAGCCCCAGTTTCCTTTCCATCACTATTGGTTTCCTGCACATTTCTCTTCATTTTAATTAGTTTAGCCTTCATTTGTTCCTCTAATTTGTGACTAAAATCAACCAGTTCTGTGAGCATCCTAATCACCAGTGTTTTGAACTGTGCATCTGATAGTTGGCTATCTCTTGGTCGCTTAGACATATCAGCTCTGGGGCTTTGAGCTGTTCCTCCTGAGCCATGATGTTTTGGTCTGTTCACGCCTGTTCCATACGAGGGGCGGAGCCTTAGGTATTTACCAGGACGGGCAACCTAGTCACTGGGTTGTGAACGCTGTATGTGGGGGTGGGGTCAGAGAGGGGCAATGTTCTGCTCTCTCTCGGATTTCGGTCCCCTCTGCTGCTTCCCACAAGCAAACTGGGCCTCCCCTGGTGCCAGCTCCCATGTGTTGTGGGCTTGTGCACCCTCCAGGACCGTGTAGGTCTCTCCAGCTGACAAACTCTCCAACAAACTCTCTGTGAGCCTGGTAGCTTCTCCCCGCACCTCAACCCTGAAAGTTCTTCCAATTGGTTCTTTTAGGCTTTAATTCCCATCGCTGGGACCCTAGCCTGTGCAGTTTGTCTCACTGCTCACTCCTTCGCCTGGTTTATCTGAGTGAGAATGCATGACCATGGTCAGCCAGCCGCCTTGCGCCCTCACTGGGTCCACCCATTGCCACCACACACCTCGGATCTGCCAACCGCTGCCTGTGTGTCTGGCGGTCCTGCCGCTTTTTCCTGCCCGACCCTGCTCTGCCAGCTGCTGACTCCACCCCTCTTACCTCCGCCCCTCTGGCTGAATGGTTTGTTGTTGTCGGACTTCAGTACAGTTCAATTTTCTGTGTTTTAGTTGTGTTTTTGTTACTAAAACTTTGTTGTCTTTAAACTTGGTTGTGTAAGGAGGCACAGTGTTTCCACCTACACCTCCATCATGGCCAGAAGTCCCATGATTTTCTACTAGGTTGTTTTCTTTGAGTTAATTTGTGAATTTCAGGCCGCCCTTTAGCTAAAGGGGTCAAACTATGCCTGTATAAAGTTCTTTCAGAAATTTGTGCCACATTATCTGATGTGGGTCACTCACAGAGAGATGACCCAGCCCCATTCCACATAAAATAAGTTGTACATCACTAGCATACTGTTCCCATTTGTTTAAGGATATGACAGGATTCTCACAAGGCTCCAAATATTTTAGTATCTCTCATTTTCTATCAGAGTGTACCTTCCAGTCTGACCTATCACTTGAGCTAAGGCTACTATACCCTCCTGACAAGCTCTGACTTGGATGACCTCACAAATAATCCTCTGAACTTCATCCACCCATACTTTAAGTTCTATGGTGCCCTAGCCAAGGGTCACCCAAGGGCCCGGACACTGGTCATCAAAGGTATCAGGTCATGTCTGGCTATGGAAACATGGAGAAAGAAGTCTTTGTAGTCAACTTAGCACCCTGGAGACCCCAAGCAGGAAGACTGTAAGGTAGGCTCAAGGAATGGTAAAGCTCCAGACAAGAGCTACACAAGAGAAGCTATTCTAGAAGCTACACAGGCCACCCGCAGTGTTGGCCCAGGCACTGGGGGCACAGTAGTACCAGGAGTACCTCGGCTGCCCAGCACCTAAGCCAGGCTGCACAATGCCACATGCCTCCTTCCATGCAGCCTCCATAGGAGGGAGGCCCCAGCTCCCTCATGTGCCCTGCCTGCACACCTCCCCTGGCAGCCCACACTCAGGAGTGAGGATGTCCTTGGCCTGGGGCGGGTGTGTGAGCATGGAGCAGCGGAGTCAGCCAGACTGGGAGAGATTTTAAAAATGAGAATACCAAGTGAGAGGGTAGAGATTGAGAATCCTTACTCCCTCTAGTGGAAACAAAAATTAGTAAATGGGGTCTTAAAGAACAGTAGCTTTAGCTAGTAGAATCCATAGTAGGTAATTCTTAGCTTTGCTGGCAATGTGCACACATACATATGTTTTCTATAGTACTGTTTAATAAAAAAGCATTAAAAAAGGAAGCAATCTAAATGATTACCAGTAGGAAATAAATTAAATAAAATGAAATTTCCATGCAAAGAAGCACTATGAAGCCATCGAAATTAATGATATAGAACAGCAATTTTTAACCAGTGTGCCATAACAAACACACTGATGGGCCCCAAGAATTTTTCAAACACCCAATACCTGACTATTTAGTCAGGCACACGCACTGACCTCTTTTCCCTTAGATGGTCAAATTTTAAAAATGACAACAGTAAACAAAATAGGTCTCTGATGTGAACGAATCAAAATTATACATTTTGGGGGGTCAGAGAGCCAAAAACTATATTACATATATTATATGTATATTAGTTTAAGTACTTAATTTATGTATATTTTAGTAATTGGTTTATGTGGGCCATGAGATGAAAAAGGTTAAAAATTGCTGACGTACAGAGCTACCCAAGGAGACAGGTAGATAGCGATGATTTGCTGGGATGTTAAAAGAGCAAGTTGCAAACAGTACATATTAATCATTTAGTTTATTAAAATTACACGTAAATATAGATTTATACACAGATAGATTCATTCACTCAACACATTTACTGAACTGCAACATATATTTATTCAATGTACACTCATTCAGCAGAAACCTACTGAACCTTCTCTGTGCTACCCACTGGGCTGCATTTGTGTGTTCCTCTCCTGATCTCTGGGTGCAACATTCAGCTGTAGTAGAAAACAACAATCATTTGTTTCCTTGGTGTGGGTGGGATTGTGGAGGGTCTTTATTTTCCACTTCATATATTTCTACATTGATCAAAAGCAATGTAAAGTGCTACATCTTTTGCTACACATAATTGTTCTGACACAAATATTAACCAAATACGTAGAAGTCACAATAGCAGAAGTGTGGAAAGGCAAACAAATGGCAAAGCCTGACTAGGTTCCACTTACAAATGGTATAAGGGAAACAAAGAGTGGGGAGACATTTTCAGTGGAAACGTAACTGGGCACCCAATCACAACAAGGACAGAATGACTAACGCAGTGTGGTTGTGAGTAAAAGGGAGCTTATGAGTTGTATGATGGCTACTGGATGATCTGAGAAGACTACCTTCTCCAACCATGTTTTCTGACTTGAATTATTATTAAGCTCCTTGCACTTCTCTGTCAGACACCAACCGAAAATGATGGAAGATTCTGGAAGAGATTTATCTTAATTGCAAAAATGTGAAAATGCAGAAAGTGTTGCTGGAAACATTCATAATTAAACCTGGAGGGGAAAACGACAATGTGGGGGCCAAGGAGCTAACATAAGCGAGTGACAGAGTGGTGGGGACAAAAGTGGCAGATGCTTGGCCCCTCTCAATGACTTCCATGTAGGAGTGAGGGTCCAAAGTTACCAGAGCTGCTCTTTCCAAGGAAAGCAGGAAAGCCAGATTTTCACTAAAAATCTCCTATCAGAATGTTGGCAACTAATTGAAAAAAAAAATTTTTCAAGCACAGGTGGCAAACATAAGGCCTGCAGGTCAAATCCAGCCCTCCACCTGGTTTTATCCAGCCCGGCACCTTGTTTCTACCCTGCAGCAGCACCGAGCTCCTCGCCTCTGTGAGCTAAAGAGTAATTACATTTATGCAGTCCTAAAATTACATTTGGCCCTTTGAAGGCAACTGCGAGGCTGATGTGGCCCCCAGTGAAAATGAGTTTGACACCCATTTTAAAGAGTTAAGATTGGGGACCTATGGACATCTAAGAAGAGTCACACAAAAAGCATTTTAAACTCCTTCATGGTAACTGAAAGAAGCATAAAGGGATCATAAGTAGACACAGTGTGACATCATGTGCACAGGCATGCACACATGCACATACATGCACGCACACACCATCTTTAGAAAGGAATGGGAAATCAAGCAAAAGTAGTTATATAGTTCATAACGCATTACTTAAACTAAGGATACTTGCCGATTTGAAATGTGTCCTCTGAATGTGATTCTAAAATAGGTTTTGATAGAAGAGGCTTGAATCTATGGGAAGGTGTGAAAGAGGAGAAAGGTGAGTCAAGCAGCTTATTTACTGCAAAAATGCACACTCACTATAAAAATGGCAATTAAGTACTGCTACTGTGGGGTCTACTGTTCAATTCCATTTAACCAGAGACACATAAAGTCAAACTGCAGTGGACATGGGTCTTAGGTTAGGTTAGCCAAGCATTATACTCAGAATTGAATGTCAATCACAAACTGATCATGGTTTCATGATCATGGTCATGGTTTCAGTTCACGCAGACTTAGCAATAGCTACAGACATGCTAGCAAGAATTTCCCAAATGTTCCAGTATTTGTCAAGCAATCTCTACTTTTTTGCCTCTTCTCAAACAAAATGTTAAAGATAGCTGTTATTTCTCACAGATAACTAAAAAGTTGACTTAGACCTATGGGCATTGACTTAATGCCCATAACATTTATGTGACAATTCCCCCAATCAAGACTATGGGAAAAAATCAGAGCCAAATTATCAGTAACCAGCCACCATGCTCAGATGCCAATGCATTTCCCACCCTGATAACCATCACTGGACAGAATTAGAGCCTGGTTTTTTATACTTCACTGAGGTCTAACAGGCTTTTTTATATTTCACAGTTACCAGAGCATCAGAATTGCCATATATCATTTGAAAAGCACACTTAATATAATTTTTTCTATTTGGAAAGGGTAAAAGTCTAATTTTCATAGGATAAAGTAGAAAAACCAAAGCTTGAAAATATTTCCAGTTTGTGAGGATTGGACATTTCTAAAGGACAAGCTTAAACTTTTAGGCTTATTACATTTTTGTAAATACAAGAATTAGGATTTTATTTCAATGACTGGTTTAAACAGGAGGGAGAAAGTATGGGTTAATACTATTAAGAAACCTTGACTCTGGGCTTGAAGGCAGGATTTAAATCTCAGTACCACTCTTCCTAGCTGGGTGACCTTAGGCAAATAAATCAAACTTCTTTGGGCCTCAGTATTCCTATCTGTAAAAAAGGGGCTAACAACAGTACTTAGCTCAAGTCTGCTCTGAGGATTGGATGAGACAACCCAAGGGAAGCATTTACAATGGTCCCAGGCGAAGACAAGCTCTCAGCAAAGGTTTCCAAACTTGTCTACAACTTTGCAAACCCTTTGAAACCTGGAATGGCTTCCACAGTATCTCATATAATCACCGATTAACTTCAGTCTCCGTTCATTCATTCATTCAAAAAATACTACATGTCTGTTCTGAACAAGGCACCTTTCTATGCCCTGCAGATAAAGAAGCAAACGAAACGAACACATAATCAAATTATTTAAACTACAATCACTGGGCAGAGGCACAGGAGAGGGTGCATTTCCTTTTGAAAACTCCATGACACATTGGAATGAGGGTCCCAGAGTGAGAATGAAGGTCTGGAGATGCTCAAAGGAAAGCAGTGCACGAAAATGAGGTCCCGGAGATCAGCCCTGCCACCTACTGAGAGCTGGTTCTGAATTCTTTCTTCTGGCCAAACCCACACTTACTTGATGCTGTGCAGCTTTCTTGTGACTATCACTGGGAAATCAACTTCAAAATATTTACTTGGGAGAAGATCTTGATCCTGAGGAGAAAAAACACAGTACTCTTTAGAATTACTTATTTGTGCATACATATACTAATCATCTTCATGGACCAACTATGAAGCCCCAGAGAGCAATGTGGCACTTAAGGATTTTAAATCAGGGAAACTGTATAGTCAGAAACCCATTCTCCAAATTATTTTGGTCTCAGTATGAAGAATGGGCAGAGAAAAAAGGAGGCCACTGGTTATCCAGGCAAGAAGTAGTGGGGAGCCTGAACTGGGGTTGTGATCGCTGGTATGGAGTGGGGAGATGAGGGGTACTTTGGAAATAGGACATGACATTATTTCCAAAAAGCAGCTTGGAACTGAACAGTGCAAGTCAAAATTAATGTATGTAGTGGGTCTGACCAGCAGTTAGTGGATAAAATAGAATAAAATAGCAAATATCAGAAAGAATGACATCTGCCCTGACTGGCGTGGCTCAGCTGGTTGGGTGTCATCTCACAAAAGTAAAAGGTCGTCAGTTTGATTCATGGTCATGCCTGGTATGTGGGTTCGGTCCCCAATCGGGGCACATAAAAGAGGCAACCAATCGACTTTTCTCTCTGGCATTGATGTCTCTCCTCTTTCTACCTCCCTAGCCCTCTCTCTAAAAATAAATAAATAATATCTTTAAAAAAGAATTCATTAAAAAAAAGCATGACATATAAAGAGGATTAGTATTATTTTGATATACATTTATTTTTCTTTCTGTGAGAGTATAATGGAGAGATTTTTTTAAAAAGGCACTCTAGAGCCCAGGGACAAGGGTTCAAATCACAGCTCTACCACTTGTTTGCTGTGAGGCCTCTAGAAAGTCACTTAACTCCCTGGCCAAGGTTTCCTCACCTGAAAAGTAGAGAAATGATAACACCTCATGTGTTGTGACAATTAATGAGGAGAGGCACAAGTGACACTCAGAAAAGAGCCTGCCTTAGTAAGCCCATATATGTTCCTATTATTTATTATTTACAAATATAGGTACATAGATCGGGGTCCTGGCTGAGGGTGTACATTTATTTCCTACTGTGGGCTGCATTAAAAAAACCATGTAAACACACACATACACAGCCCTACTTTCCTTTTCTGCTTTTGCTAGCTTGGTTGGGACCATTCTGGAGCCTCCTCTCCCTGTCGGCTCGGTTACCACCCACACAGACTGTAACAACACCCCTCTGGTGTTTCTCAAGAATACACATCACCTTGTAGCAGCTCTTCATGCTTGAGACCCAGCAAGAAACAAGGTGCTCCACACCTGGCCCACCTGCCCAGTGGTTCCTCTTAGAGACACATTTAACAGGCTTGCACCCACCTGCACTTATATTCAAGAAATGCAGAACCAATGTATTTTTTTTTAAAGACAAAGAAGAAGAAAGAAAAGATAGTTGCTCACATCCAGAACGTGGTGTAGCTACACCGCTGCGGGATGGGATGAACTGCAAGGCTGACCAACACTCCTGTTTCTGACTTGAGCAACTTGCGTAACCAAGTATGCAGACATTAACAAGAGATGTAGAACAGGTACAGAGGGCAGCAGACAGACATCCCTTAGGACTGCAGAATGGGGGCAGAAATTATGAGCAAGCATTTCCGAGTAGGTAGGGGACCCCTAAAGGTGAGTATCGGAATTGTGGGATCAGCCATTTCCCACCCATGTGGAGAATGGCCCTCAGATAAAAATCTCAGGGGATCTGGCCTGTGGAAAAAAGGGGAAGGCAAGAAATGGGAGACAGAAAAAAAGACAAGAAAGAAAAAAAGAGAAAAAGGACAAGAGCAGATTTTACCCTTCGCCATACAGTATTGCTACAAACTGAATGATCATCAGATTTCTATTACACCCTGTATATTGCATCTCCTGTACCTGCTTACTAGGTGCAAAGTCCTTCTTGGATGCAACTTCAACCATATATCCTACAGCACCCCAGTGCAGTATTAAGTCCCTATATGAAGCATACCACGTCATTACAGCCCACATCTATGATCAGCCCTCTGGCCCAGATGAGTAATCTGTCACATGGCAGCACCAAACACACATGCCTACAACCTCAGCTCTGCAAGGAGTCTACTTGCCTCAGTACACACAAATGCAGATGACAGTGGTTCCTGTTGAAAAGATAAGTAAGCATTGTAGAGAGGTCTAATGACCATTCTCCATATACTTTCAACCCAGTAACTGGAAGATGTACAGAAGGGTGTTCTTACATGAAGAAGACTGTGAAAGCAGAACAATCATGGATTTTTCCAATCAACTGTGCTTTGGGAAAGTATTAACAGTTTTGTACAGGTTCTTGAAAACATTACTTATAGGGAAATCAACAAAAACTATTTTTTGTTGTAATTTCTATAAGGGGCATAATACCCTCAAATTATTCTAGTAGCTATTCCACTGAACAACTTTATTTTAGGGAGAAAAAAACAAATGTTATTGCAAAAAGAAAGAGGAAAAAAGACAAGAAAAAGGGGGAAAAGGAAAACTTCAATTTTCTGGATACGAACAAAGACCATAAAGACATGATTGTGCCTTGGCTGGTGTGGCTCAGTGGACTGAGTACTACCCTGCAAACCAAAGAATCACTGGTTTGACTCCCAGTCTAGGGCACATGCCTGGGTTGCAGGCCAAGTCCCCAGTAGGGGGTGCACAAGAGGCAACCACGCACTGATGTTTCTCTTCCTCTTTCACTCCCTGCCCCTTTCTAAAAATAAATGAACTCTGTTTTAAAAAAGACTTATGATTGTGTGATTGGATTTTTGTGATAATTTTGTGTTTAATTTGTGTTTTTCTCAGCTGTATGAAACAGGCGTTCTGACGTTTAACTAGTCCGACTTCACCCATGAAGTTCTGTGCCTGCTATGTGACTGACATTCAGTGTTGCCCACAGTGCCGCCTCTTTGCTTTCTGTTTTCTTTCAATGTAGTGTGAAGCATCTTATTCTTTTCTAAGAATTCCAATTTGTCTTAACCCTTTTGATGCTGCAGCTATTTAAGTAAAAGTTAGTTCAAACTAATGATGTAAAATGTTTTGACCAAATAAGCTGGTCTACAATGCCTCATAAAATAGCAGTGGTGTAGAGAAAGCTCTTAAAAGATATGAAAGAGGCTAAGGAGGAATAAATGGTAATAGAAAAAATACCCCCCCAAAATTGCAAACAAGTGGAATTCCTATATCAAAATATGTATAGGTGTGAAATTTATAAGAAATGGTCAATTAAAAATGACTTGAAACATTTTACATCCTTACTAGCAATATATGTAAGATGTGGTTGCCCAGCATCCTTGCCAACATGTCATCATCAGTCTTTATGATTTTAGGCATTTTTATGGATGTGTAGTGGAACCTCTTTCTGGCTTTAATTATATCCTCTAGACAAGTGATATTGAACATCTTTTAATCTGGCTATTAGACCTTCACATATCTTCTTTTTGAAAGTATCTGTCAAAGTCTTTTGTTCCTTTATACTGAATTGGTTTCTTTTTATTGTTGCTTTGTATGTGTTTTTTCATATACAATAATTTGTTGCATATTTAAAAAGGTAGCCCATAAAATTTGCTTGTAAAAGAAAAATGAAGGAGAAATATACAGTCCTACAGCTTCTATAGTATCTTGATCCTTATTACATCCTGAAAAAGAGGTCACTGTGGAAGAAAAGCTTCCAACATGCATACCTGGAGCTCTTCCAAAACACTCACTCACTCTTGCTTTCACGGCTGTGGTTAAGTGAGGCTGAAACTTTTTATTCTGGGATTCTCTGGCTTTTCTGACACTCCATTCCCAAGAAGCTCCCATGTCATAGGAGCAGGGAGGACACTTAACACCAAATATAACTCCCAGAGGGCAGCCAGGAGCAGCCAAAACCTCTCAAACTCAAAGGGGACCCAACGGGGCTGACTGCTTCACAAGCTGCCAAAATCAACACTGCTTCCCTAGGTACATGATACTCTGATTGTGTAGAAACAGCATTCAGGCAACACCAAAAACTCAGGCCCCGGGAAGGGTTTCACTCACCCTTTATTCTTTGTTAATAACAATACTGGAACCTTTACCTTCCCTATTCTTGCCTGCTGCCTGGAGACAGGAATCTTCAACCATCCAAGCAGTCTTGGGTCCCTGAGAGCCCATGAACCAGCTCACAGAATTGTGGCAGCAGAAAGTCTGTGATTCCCAGCTAAGCCTCTGCTGGGGCATCAGGGCACCATGCCAGGTAGAAGTTACATGAGATAACAAGACCAATGGACACAATTTTCCCTACACTTTCAGAAGCACAGTATCTCTAAAACAGGGATTAGCAAACTTTCTGTAAAGAGCCAGAAAGTATTTTAGTCATGCAGGCTTCACTGTTATAACTACTGGACTTTGCTGTTATTGTTCTAAAGCAGCAATAGGTAAGATATGCCTAAATGGAGTTGGTGTACTCCAATCAACTCGATTCACAAAAGTAAGTGGCAGGTCAGTAGCCCACACAACTTTGACTCTAAGAGAGCAAACAAGCATAATTTTGTTCTTTTAAAAAAGAGGAACTTTAGATTTAAAAAAAAAAAACTTTACAGCAACAAAAACACTTCCACAAAGAACTTTCAGACCATATGTTGTTTTTCCTCACTACTGATGGACAACCTTTTCCTTAGAAGGGGCACCTAAGCCTCGTTGTACCTTGCTCAGAAATAAAAACCTCAGATTTATTATTAACCCATTTACAAAACAGGAAAAGTAAAAACCACCTACGAACAGGTCAACAGGTGCCAGGCGCAAAAAAGGGATTTGTCCCAAGCCCCCTGTGAGCACCCCACCGCACACTTCCCTCCAGTGCCTTCTGCCATGACCTGGTCACTGCGTGACAGGCACAATCGACCCCCAGAAAAGATGCCTCCAAACCAACGCAGGGCTGCATGCAGAGGAGAGAACAAGGGATCTGGGAGTTGACAAGCTGGAGCTGAAGGTTTGTTCCATGTTCCAATATACTGGCTGTGCAACCTGGAAAAGATATCAGGTCTTGCAATCCATCTGTGTACGTCCCCTCACAAAGCTCTCAAATGAATTCACCAGGTCCTGTTAGTATTGGGATGGCCAAAAAGTCCATTACACTTTTTACATAAAATAAAGAACACGTTTTTTACCAGTAACTTTATTCTTCTGGATATGCTGAGTATGTACACCATTTTCTGCCACTGGTTTTAGTGGGTAACCACCAGGGGTGCTGCTAAACACCTTCCAATGCATAAGACAGCCCCACGGCAAAGAATTATTTGGCCAAAACATCAACGGCACCAAGAAACTTCACAAACCACTTTTGACACATTTGATCAGTTATAGCAACTTCTTCATAATTTTTTTTTGCATTTCGGTTGTTTTTATCATTCTTGAAATAATAAAGCATAATACATTGAAAAATGCTGCATACATTCTTCCATCTTTGGTATTAAAATAGCTGCACAAAATTTCACCAATTTTGATGGGTTTTTTACATGTATGCTGATACGACAGCTTTCACAATACAATCAAACAAATCTGTTTCAAATGAAGATGAGACAACTAAGCACTACTAGAGCTGTCATACAGGAAAAGCTAAACAAACTTTTTGGCCAACCCAATTAAAAGCATTTCATCAATGTGAGTTACTCTTAACCTGAATACAGAACAGAGGCAACCATTAACACTAAAACCAAGTTGAGGGCACTGACTTTTTGCTTCAGTAAGAGAAAGGTTGAGAGCTCTAATGACCACAGACCTTCTTATCAGGTGAGCTGCTATGGGACCAAAGACATATGCAGGTCAGGTTATACCCATATATTCTAATTTATCTTCATGTCCACCTATAAGAAATCTGGGGGAAATGTGTATATTCATTACTGCCTCATGACTGATCTCAAAGAACAAGGAAAAATCTGTACAAACCTATTAAAAAGGAAATGCAATCAGTGAGGTCCTTGTAGAGAAAGGATTTGGCAGTAAAATTCCAGTCCAGGAGTCAAAGACCAGCACCGTTGTCCTGGTTCTGCCACTAACTAGACCCAACTCCCCTTTCCTGTGAGTGTTTTTGTACCTGCTCTTGACTGTAACAGATCAGTTAGGGGACCAAATCAAAGAATGGCTACAAAAGGGCTCTGTATCACATTACTATCGCCCTGCCACGCAAACCTCCAAACCTAACCCAAAACACCATTATGCTGACAATAGAATCTTAGTTATCATCAAAATTACAAATGCACATGCTCTTTGTCTCAACAATTCCACTAGAAGAATTTTTTCTCCTGATATATTTCCACACATGCAGAGGAAAACATACAAAGGATTATTATTAATACTCTGTAACAGCAAACGATGAGAAACAACCCACATGTCCTTCACTAGGACCCCGGTGCGACGAAATATGGGGCTGACAGTGGTCAGAGGCATGTAAACAGCTGGGGACAGGGCTGGGAGATGGGCTGTCACTGCATACATTTTAATGTATATTCTTTCACCTTTTTGAGCAGGTAAATATCCAATTAGGGAAAGAGGAGGGGGGATTTTAATGTACCTTTAATATCCAGAAGGTGGTATCCATCCCAGCCCCAAGGTTTATAATTTGACAATGACACTCTGTCTTCCGCAGAAATGCCTTTGTAAGCTGACTGATGCCATGAACTCGAGCAAAATAGCCTAAGAAAGAGACATGGAAACAAGCTATTCCTTGGTCATGACAGCAGTGATACCTGCAAAGTCCATCAGAGAACAAAAACAGAACATTCCTGCCTTCCTCAGCATCAGCAGTGTCACTGTAGACATTATGTGAGACCCGGCAACTTCCAAATTTTCTCCCCCACTTTTTTAGAGCTGTCTGATCCAAAGCAAACACAATCTATTTAGTGGTGGAATTAACTATCTTAAGAAAAATAAAATGTCCTATAATTTTACTTAAGAAAGACAAGGGTTTTACATGAAAACATTTTATTTAAATGTCCTTCTTGGAAATGACCTCTGGGAATCTGACCTCTTGACCTTTTTCATGGCCATAGAGAAAGCTAGTTGGTACTCTGATAAAACTCAAAATTGTAAAATCTAATGGAAAATATTTTTAAGTGAAGAAATTAGGCAGATAAATGTCAAAGCAAAGAAAGTGGCATTTCATCCAAGCCCACAGCATTAGAACCTTGATCTTTATCTAAGAGCATTAGAAGGGGCAGGACAGGGCACCGGCACTGGACTGCCTGATAAAATGACTTGGTACGCTCTGGGCTGGGGAGATAGGGCACAGGATATGGGAAATATAGACGGCAGGAAGAAGCCCCGCTGCTCAAAGAGCACATATTCTAGGAACCAAATTTGAGAGGAGCATTTAGGAACTTTTATTGCAACTTCATAGGAATTTTATGTCTGTTGAATCTACTCATAAATACTTTGGGCTTGTGATTTGTATGTCTTCTTCATTTGTTTTTCTAGTAAACCACTTATTATATTTTACAGAAATATACACAATGGATTGGGTATTGGAAAAATACATATCCTTACCACACACTGCTTGGGAAGCACTCTCCTAGTGGGCTGCGGGTCCCCAAACCAGAGATTTCCAAACCCAGAGTGACAAAAAGGAAGGAGGAAGGGCTGATGTGCTGCCTGGGGCACCGAGACAGTCACCATGGCAGGTCCCTGCCTCTGGAGCATTCATTAGGAAACCTGCACCCTGAGAACAGGAAGAAGGCTGAGGACCTTTCAGGCAGGTTTTGCTCAATCTTACTGATGTGTGGTTTCATGCTCAGCTCAAAGTAAATATCACATCCTTATTCTCAGAAATCCCCATTTTAACATCTGTATGCATTTTTGTTACTATTTTTATTATATTTTATTGGTTATGCTATTACAGTTCTCCTGATTCCCCCCCCTTTGTCCACCTCCGACCAGCACCACACACTCCCTCAGGCAATGCACCCATCACTGTTCATGTCCATGGGTGATGCCTATAACTTCTTTGGCTACTCCATTTCCTACAGTGTACTTTACATCCACATGGCTATTCTGTGACTACCTATTTGGTACTTCCTTTCTTTTATTTAAAAGATTTTTTAAATTTATTTTTATAGAGGAGAAAGAGAGGGAGAAAAACATCAATGTGTGGTTGCCCCATGAGCACCCCCTACTTGGGACCTGGTCTGTACCCCAGGCATGTGCTCTGACTGGAAATCGAACCAGCAACCCTTTGGTTTAGAGGGCCGTGCTCAATCCACTAAGCTATCCCAGCCAGGGCCCTATTTGTACTTCTTAATCCCCTCACCTCTTCACCCATTCCTCAACACCCCCTTCCCATCTGGCCACCATCAAAATGCTTCTCATATCCATGATTCTGTCTCTGTTCTTCTTGTTTGCTTAGTTTTTTAAGATTCAACTGTTGATATGTATTTATTGCCATTTTACTATTCATAGTTTTAACCTTCTTATTCTTAAATAAGTCCCTTTAACATTTCATATAATAATGGTTTGGTAAGGATGAACTCCTTTAGCTTTTTCTGGGGAAAACGTTGTATTCTAAATTATAGCTTTGTTAAATACAGCAATCTTGGCTGTAAGTCCCTGCATTTCATCACTCTGAATACTTCTTGCCAGTCCCTTCTACCTTGCAGTTTCTTTTGAGAAGTCAGCTGATAGTCTTATGGGAACTCCTTTGTAGGTAACTATCTCCTTTCCTCTTGCTGCTTGTAGGAGTCTCCCTTTATCCTTAAACTTTGACATTTTAATTATGATGTGTCTTGGAGTGGGTCTCTTTGCATCCATCTTGTTTGGGGTTCTCTGTACTTCCTAGACTTGCATGTCTATTTCCTTCACCAAATTAGGGAAGTTCTCTTCATTATTTTTTCAAATAGATTTCCAATTTCTTGCTCTTTCTCGTCTTCTCCTGGCACCCCTATGACGTGAATTTGGAACACTTGAATTTGTCCTAGAGGTTGCTTATATTATAGTAATTTTTTAGATTTTTTTTCTTGGTGTTGTTCTGATGGGTTGTTTTTTTGCTTCCTAATGTTCCATATCATTGTTTTGATTCTCTCCCTTATCCATTTTACTCGTTTCTCTTGAAATTATTCTTCATTTTATCTAGTGTATCCTTCATTTGTGACTACCTCTTTTTTATGCTGTCCAGGTCCTCACTAAGTTCCTTGAGCGTCATTATAACAAGTGTTTTGGACTCTGCATCTGATAGATTGCTTATCTCCATTTTGTCTAATTCTTTTCTGGAGTTTTGAGCTGTTCTTTCATTTGGGCCATGTCTCTTTGTCTCCTCGTTTTGGCAGCCTCCCTGTGTTTGTTTCTATGTATTAGGTAAGGCTACTTTGATTCCCTGTCTTGGTAGTGTGGTCTAATGTACTAGGTGTCCTGTATGGTTCAGTGGCACAGTGCCCCCTATTACCTAAGCTGGGTACTCAAGGCGCACCCTTCATGTGGGCTGAGTACACCTCCTCTTGTAGCTGAGCCTTGACTGTTGTTGGAAGGCCAGTGGGAGGCATTTACCCAGTTACAAGGACCAGCTGTGACCACTGATCATCACCCTCCGCCCTCCGTGGAGGATGATCTGTGCAGGGGCAAGCTGGTGATACTCTGACATGGCCTGCAGCTGCCCACTAGGTGCACAGACTCTGGGGTTTCTCGGGTGGTACAGGACAAGGTCAGTCCCCACCTGTGTTTTCCCAGGGGCCACCCTGCCTTAGTTATAAAGCGATCTGAGATGGCTGCTACTTGGCTTGGATATTCTCAGACAAAGCCAAGCTGAGAATCTAGGCTGGCTGCTTCTAGTGCCAGGCCTGGGGTTCACTGAGGTCAGCTGCCACTTGTTTGAGAGGGTTTAGGAAGTTGTGAAACATGAGCCAAGACCAACCACTGATGTGAAAAAGCAACTTGGGGGGCCTATAATTTGGGTGGGGCAGAATCAGGGGATCTCCAGAATGGGGCAAACAGTTTTAGCCAGGTTGATGAACTCTCAGATATGGCAGCAGCTTGCCAGCTTTGTGGCTCTATGGGGAGAGGATTCAGAGAAAGGACAATGGCTTCTGTTCACCTAAATGACAGATACTTCGGTTCCTCCCTGTATGCTACTAGTGACTTTCAAGATGCTACCCTGGTGTTGGACCTCAGAGGGAGTGAGTCTAAGTAGGTGAGTCAATGTGTGGGCCCTTTAAGAAGAACTGCTTAGAGCTCCAGAAGTTTCTTCCATTGACTCAATCCCTGCTAGTTTTTGCAGCCAAAAGTTGTGGGGAATTACCTTCCTGGCACTGGAATCCTGCGCTGGAGGGGCCTGGTGTGGGGCTAGGACTCTTCATTCCTGAGATATCTGTCCTGAGTTTTACCTACTACACATGGATAGGGGACCAGCCTGTTTCATGTTTGTGCCCCTCCTATCAATCTGGATGGATACAGTTTCTTTAGTTTCATAGTTGTCAGACTTCCATTCAGCTCGATTTCTGATTGTTCTGACTGATAGTTGTTCTGTTTTAGTTGTAATTTTGATGTGATTGTGGGAAGGAGGCAAGCCATGTCTGCCTACGCTGCCATCTTGACCAGAAGTCCTCTTTGCATTTCTTATAGACCCTACTTCTAGGATCTAGTCTCAGAGTTGACATTCCCTGAACACACAGGAATGATTGTCAATTGGTCAATTTCTCGGTCTGGCTGAAAGGAAGTCAGGCCTACCCAGTCCTCTGACTTCCCTGATGGAAATTACTTACAGAACCTAATGGCATAACCAAAAATTTACTAAAGCAACAAAATGTAATCCCTATGTGAACAGGCACTTCACAGTAAAAGAGATACACACACACACACACACACACACACACACACACACAAATATATAAGAAATGAACCCTGGCCAGGTAGCTCATATTGGTTAGAGTGTTGTCCCAATATAGCAAGGTTGCAGGTTCTATCCCCAGTCAGGGAACATACAAGAATCAACCAATGAATGCATAAATAAGTGAAAGAACAAAATGATGTTTCCCTCTCTCTCTGTGTCTCTCTCTCTCTCTCACTTCCTCTCCCTCTCTCTCTAAAATCAATAATTAAAAAAATTTAAAAAGGTATATAAATAGCTTTTCAGCCTATGAAAATGCTCAAACTTACCCATAAGTAAGAAGAAGAAAATATAATTATCCTAAGATACCATTTCTCATTATTAGATTAACAAAGATTTAAAAACTTTACACTGGTCCCTGGCCAGGTCGCTTGGTTGGTTGGAGTTTCGTCCTATACATCAAAAGATCACAGGTTCAATCCCCAGTCAGGGCACGTACCTAGGTTGTGGGTTTGACCCCTGGCTGGGGCACGTACAGGAGGCAGCTCTTTGGTACTTCTCTCTCTCACATTGGTATTTCTCTCTCTCTCTCTCCCCCTTCCTCCTTCTCTAAAATTGATAAACATATCTTCAGGTGAAGAGTTAAAAAAATGTTTCATACAATGGCCAAGATCTGGTAATTATTGAAACTGATCCACATATGATTCTACTTTCATATGGTTTAAAATTATCTAGCCCTGGCTGGTGTGACTCAGTGGATTCAGTGCTAGCCTGTGAGACGAAAGGTCACCAGTTCAATTCTTGGTCAGGATACATGCCTGGGTCGCAGGCCAGGTCCCCAGTCAGGGGAGGGTGTGGGAGAGGCAACCGATCACTGTATCTCTAGCACACTGATATTTCTCTCCTTTTCTTTCTCCCTCCCTTCCCTCTCTCTAAAAATAAATAAAATCTTAAGAAAAAATTATCCTTAATAAAAGTTTTAAAAAATAAAAATGAAAAAATTTAAATAATAAGTTTCATAATGCACTGTGTTGGTGAGAATATTGGGAAATCAGTACTTTAATATACTATTGGAGAGAGTGAATACTGGAACTCTCTTTTGGGGAATTAATTCCTAAAACTTCAGGCTACTTAGCTGATGAAAAGTTAGGGAAAGAGACAGTCACTCACCTCTGTTAATTTCAGGGGCCTTCCTCTCTTTAGACAGTCTTACAAGATGCTGGATGTAAGGGTCATCCCAGTAGCCAATGCTTACTGCAAACCTGAAAGGAATCAAAGAGAAGGCATGTGAGTAGAGATTAGTATATTTCTGGTCAAGGTTCATGGCTACATTCCCAGGAACCAGGTCAAGGATCCAGAGGAAAATTGTTGACCTCAAAGGCCAACAAATGCACATTCAGGGTTCCATTACACATTTAAACAGACTCACTCACCTATCTTTATATTAATACACACACTGCCCATCACATCTCCTACAGTGGCTATTTTTCACCTCTGTTTTTCCTCTTATAATTAATTCCTTTCCTAGAATATTAAACAGCAAATAATCTCACCTCATTATCACATAGTGGACTTACAACAATTTATTCATTCAGTAAACTCACTGGCCAAAGCTTTTGGTCAGATAACTCTATTCAACCAAAAAAGTTCTATGTTGAAAGAAAAGGAAATTCAGAAACATTTGGCAAATATCACTAAAAAAGACCTAAATTTTTCTCCTGACTCTGTATTTCACATCCCTTAAGGCGGTCACAGTGGGGAGAGTAAGAATAAACAAAACTACAACTTGGAAAATGCTGTGGTAGCCTAAACTCTCTCTACTTCAGTCTACATTACATGGAGTTAAAGTTTTAGTGTCCCAAGTCTGGGTACTGACTCAATTACACTGGAAGTCTTCTGGCAACATGTGTGGATCCAGCCATAGGACCACTGACAAGTCATGGAAGGAACCTGGATCCCTAAGGCCAGGCCAGGCCACTGTGGGCCTGGAGACTGCTCTCCCTCTCAAAGGACATTCTGTGAGATAATAAATGTCTTTACCATCTGAACCAATATGAGCCAGGCTTCCATTGCTTTCAGACTAAAGCATCCTGACTGGTTAATACCTGAGTAATGCACTCATTTCCATGCTGCTTAATAAGAAAGCTAAAGTTTAAAGGGGGTGTGTATATGTGTTATGTCTCCCAGATAGGTTCTGAACTCCCAGAAGCAGATACTATCTCTTTTCTTTACATCTACTGACAGGGCTTTCTGAAATAGGTGCTGATTCTGAAAAAAAGATGCCCCCTACAGAATCTCACATTTATGTTTACCCAATCATAGATACTTGTAAGAAAGCACGTGTTCAGGCACTCAATGCAGCCACTCAACAAAGAATTATACAAAGTATGCACTAAGAACACCATTTGCTGTAAGCCCAGACTATCCAAGAAAAACAGCCTTATTGAGTATTGCAAGAGTAAACTTTCTCAGTGGTCCAAAAAGTATTTTACAAACAGTGAGTTGTGATGTATTGATATCATAAAATCAATTTGACAGTCTGAAAACTTGCATTAAAAAATAAAGAATAGAGTAAAATAGAAAATGCCAGCATGCATTATGCATAGTAAGAGATCAGACTTCTGTGAAGCTTTTGCTTCATGTCTATGTTGGAGGAAATAAGTTTTCTCACTCAGTGTGATGAACAGATTTCCAAGAAATCCTCTAGTGCCACCTAGTGTTCACTGCCATTCCACACTGAAGGAAGAATGGTAGCCTAATGAATGGAAATGCACAGGAAACTAATAGTAATGGAAAGGAAACTGGGACTCAAATCAAAGGAGTGGACCAGAAAGAGGGAAAAAATGACCAAACAGAAAAGGAAGAAGAAACTAGAATTCAAAAAAATGAGGAGAGGCTTAGGAACCTCCAGGACATCTTTAAACGCTCCAACATCCGAATTATAGGGGTACTAGAAGGGGAAGAGGAACAGCCACGAGTGGAAAACTTATTTGAACAAATAATAAAGGAGAATTTCCCCAATCTGGAAAAGGAAATAGACTTCCAGGAAATCCAGGAAGCTCAGAGAGTCCCAAAGAAGTTGGACCCAAGAAGGAACACACCAAGGCACATCATCATTACATTAGCCAAGATTAAAATGAAGGAGAGAATTCTAGAAGCAGTGAGAGATAAGGGGACAGTCACCTAAAAAGGAGTTCCCATCAGACTGCCAGCTGATTTCTCAAAAGAGACCTTATAGGCAAGAAGGGGCTGGAAAGAGGTATTCCAAGTCATGAAATCCAAAGACCTACATCCAAGATTGCTCTATCCAGCAAAGCTTTCATTTAGAATGGAAGGGCAGATAAAGTGCTTCTCAGATAAGATCAAATTCAAGGAGTTCATCATCACCAAGCCCTTATTATATGAAATGTTAAAGGGACTTACCTAAGAAAAAGATAAAAAAGATGAACAGTGAAAGGACAGCAAACTCACCGTTACTAAGAACCACACCTAAAACAAAAACAAACTAAGAGGACAGCTAGATCAGGAGCAAAACCATAAAAATGAGATCACATGGAGGGTTAGCAACAGGAGTGGGAGAAGGAGAAGGGGGGAGAAGGTACAGAAAATAAGTAGCATAGATGGTAGGTAGAAAATAGATAGGGGGGAGGGCAAGAATAGTATGGGAAATATAGAATCTAAAGAACGTGGTCATAAACTAAAGGGGGGAATGGTCGGGGAGGGGTGTGCAGGGTGGAGGGGAAAGGGGGGAAATAGAACTGTAATGACATAATCAATAAAATATATATTAAAAAAAAAGAATACTCATCAAATAGTTTAAGGGTTGGAAGAGGGTTGGAAGGGTTGGAAATGATCTACTCAACCCCAACATCCAGTACAAGAATTCCTTTAATGCTATCAAGACAATGCTGGACTAGGATTCACGAAGAAAGCACTCAGTCTGTTATAGGGTACAACCAACAGGGGGGCCCCAAATAGGGATTTGGAATGGGGTCCAGAATTCAAGGTGTCTAGGAAATATAAGGAAGACATGTAAGATGTCCTCACACCCTCCGCCCCCCTACCCTGCCCCGCACAGATGTGAGTTGAGAGAAGGGACAAATGGAGCAGGGCCATTGAGAGCTGTTTTGTACAGCAACAGCTTTGCAGCTAACCTCTGACATGGTCATTTAACATATCTATAACCTTTAACTGGTTGCATAGATATGTTACATAGCTGTGGCCATGCTTTGAGCCAGGGGGATGGAAGTGACTTCCACCCAAGATGTAACTGGGGACAAGTCCCCCAAGTTACAGCACCTGCATGAGAGCTTGGAGATGGTTGGCTCCACGCCATGGGGCCACACCTGCCCAGACTCACGATGGCAGCCCAGTAAAGCTGGAAGAATACAGGAGTGCTGGCAAGTGTAGCTGATTGTGGGAGGAGTTGGAAATGGGGCTGCAGAGGAAGATTGGCACGAAGACTTAAACCCAGATGCAGCAGCCATTGAGAGGGGAAAACCATGCACTTTTGGCCAGAGTGGGGACCCCTGCATCTTTGGTAGGAGAGGGCCACACAGCTTTGGGGTGCTCCCTTTGGCCATGTGACCTGGGAAGCAGGAAAGATTTTGCCTAGAAGAAGGGTGAAAGAACTTTTGCCAGTAGGCCATGAGAGAGTGCCACATGGCTTTGAATTAATTAGAGATCCTGCCTGGATGGCAACCTGAAACACAGAAATGTGCTTCTTTTCAGGAGATGTGGTACCCCAAATTAGGGCAGGGGGAGAAGGAAGCACTGCACTGTGGGAGCCTGTGGGTATCCAAAAGGACTTTGATATTTTGGTGAAGACATTAGGTCACTACTTTAAGCCTGTATAGCATTAAGTAAACATTTCCTTTCTTTTTCACAAATCTCTGGCATTGAGAGATGTCTTTTCTCTGGTGGCGGACATAACGAACCTAGGAGGGCTCCTTTCGGTAAACAGTATATCATGACCCCCCTTGGCCGTGTGTGTGGGTTCTGTAACAGTTTTTGGCATCCCTGGGTAGACCAATAATTGTCCCCCCAACCCCTGGTGCCTTATTCTGTAACAACTCCACTGCAAAGCGACTGCTAGAAAGCTGATAAGTTGGCCTCGCTCCAAGCATTTCTTGTTGGACTATTACTGCCCTGGTGGGTAACAAGGAGCAATTCCTATTCCTCTCAATTCTGTATTATCTGTCAATTCTATACCATTGATTCAGTACAGCAATATTTATTGAGTGTCTTCTCAATGCCAGGCACTGGGGATACAGTACAGAACAAGACAAAGAAGGACCAGAGGCAAAGATATGACATTGTGGCCAATAAAGGGCATGAAGAATATGGAAAATAAAGGGATGTCACTGAGAGAAGGTAAAATAGAAAGCATCTCTGAAAGGGGGATGGTCAAGTTGAGCACCAAAGAATAGAAAGTCACTGTGCAAAAGGTATTTCAGACAGCAGAAGAGCCAACAGAAACACTCTGGTGTGGGAGTGGACTTGAAGTGTCCCAGGAGCAGGAGGCAGGCAGGGGAACTGGAGAGCAGCAAGAAAACAGGAGAAACTAGGGAGGAGGTTAAAGAGAGAAGCAGGCTCAGGTCACAGAGCCTGGCAGGAGCCTGGGACTCACCTCACAGTACACTGGATGGCTGGGGAAATGCGCCCACGCAAACACAAGTACGTCTGATCACTAGTTCCCATGACTGCTACTTCCCTGTGTTTCTAACAAGTTCCTTTCTGGTCGGTCCTCAGGCCCTCAAATGACTGCCAGTAGTTTCCCAGCTCCGAGGAAAAAGGATCTTACTGATTTGCCTATCGGAGTGACAAGATAAAAAGATTCACAGTGCATGACTGGGAAGAAGAGGAAGATGGCACTGTTCCTGGGAGTTCTGGAGGGAGATGGGCACCAAGTTTCAGAATTTACAAACTATTAACTGCAGATTAACTGAACAAATTATAGTGTATCTATATACTATACTAACCAGACACTTAATCTGTAAACTCAAAGAATTGGACATAGAAAGATATTCAAAATACACTGTTAAGAGAAAAAGGGAAGACCAGAAATATAGATAGTGTATACGCCCATAAATACATGTGGGTATGTCTTTACATAGAGGAGTCACTGGAGCATTCATACACAAATATTAACAACGATTATCTATGAGATTTCTGGTGTTCTTTAGTAATCTATATTTTTAAAATTTTCTGCACTAACCATATGCCATATTTCATTATATCTAAGATACCCTCAGTTGTAACA